GCAGAGCTTTTCCTGTGCCTCCTTTCTCATGGTTGGCTCTCAATCAGGAAGAAAAGGAAAAGGAAAAGTTGCCTTGAATGAGGCTGGCCTTAGAACAAAGCTTCCAAGTTCCTAAATCTCTTGGGCTTGACAGAATTCTAGATTAGCTGCTAATTCTCATAAAACCACTTGGCAAGGACCAGGGAGTCTTCCAAAACCCCAGGGTCATTTTTGTTTCCATATCAGCCTCTTCTACACATAGAACTTAGTATGGTGGGACATTAAATCAGCGAAACCAAGCGCTCCAACCCTCAGTAACATGTTTTCTCTTTGGCAGGATGACTGTGGTTTAAAAAATATATATTTTATTATTTTTATGTGTGTATGCATATATTGCCTGCATGTAGGTAAGTGCATCCGTGTCCCGCAATGTCCATGGAGGACAGAAGAGGCTGTCGGATCTCCTGGGACTGGAGTTATGGACAGTTGTTAACTGCCATGTGGGTGCCGGGATTCAAACTTGGGTCTTCTGCAAGAACAGCCAGTGTTCTTACCCACTGAGTCATCTCTCCAGCCCCAGGATGACTGTGATTTTACTTCAGAGGCATGACTGTTATGTGAGTCTGAGGTTACCAGTGGGCACCTGATTTGGATCTTTATAGTTTTACTAAGGGAATCACCTTGTCAGCAGTGGCAGGCAACACAGCCCAGCATAGTTACCAGCAGCCTGAGTTCTCTTATGCCTTAGGGACCTCTACTCAGGTAATGCCAGATTCTTGACTGTACTGCAGAAAATAATTTCAGGTTAAGCCAGAGCAAAGCAAAATATATGAGTTTATTAAGTATTTAGACAGTCATATAGGAAAAGGAGAGCACACAGTCACAAGACATGAAAATTATGCTGCTTAAAGTATGTAAACCCGGTGACCTGAGTTCAATCCCCAGGACTCACAGTAGGAGAGAACTGTCTCTGAAAACTGTCCTCTGACCTCCATATGTATTCTGGGGCACACATATGCACACACATACTCACACATGCACATACAATAATAATAAATAAATAAATTTTTTTGATCTTTTTGAGACAGGGTCTCCCTGTAGCCCCAGCTATCCTAGAACTTACAATGTAGACCAGGCTGGCCTTGAACTCACAGAGATCTGCCTGCCTCTGCCTCCCAAGTACTGGGACTAAAGGAATGCACTACCACGCCTGGCTTAATAAAATCATTTTTTAAAGAAGAGAGTTGTGCCAGTCATAGTGGCATATACCTTTAATCCTAACTCAGGAGGCAGAGGTAGGCAGATCTCTGTGAGTTTGAGGCCAGCCCAGTCTGCATAGCAAGTTCCAGGACAGCCAGGGCTACATAGTGAGACCCTGTCACAAAAACAACAACAAAACAGAGAGAGAGAAAAAAAGTTGTTGGGCTGGAGAGACTACTCAGCGATTAAGAGTATTTGCTGCTCTTGTAGAGGACCTGGAATTAGTTCCTGGCACCTACATGGGTACTCAAGACTGTCTATAACTCTAGCTCCAAGGTACCTAATACCCTCTTCTGGGCTCCATGGGCACTGCATGCACATGGTGCACTTAACATACATTCATACACATGAAATAAAATAAATAAATCTAAAAAGAGAGAGCCATGCTTAAATAGTTTTACAATGACTATCCATATGATCCGGTGGCTTTCTAAGTACCGTGTCTTAAAGGATATAATTTATATCAAGGTTAAAACTTAAGCAAAGTTTAAATGCAAATCATAGTTTAAAAATGAAGTGAAAGTATATGATCTTACTCTTCTTTTTTTAAAAAGCATTTTATTATTTTTATTTTATGTGTATGAGTGTTATGCCTGCATGTAGGTAAGTGCACCTGTGTTGTGCAATGTTCACGGAAGACAGAAGAGGCTGTTGAATCCCCTGGAACTGGAGTTATGGATAGTTGTTAGCTGCCATGTCGGTGCTGGGATTCGAACCTGGGTCTTCTTCAAGAACAACCAGTGTTCTTAACCGCTGAGCCATCTCTCCAGACCCCGATCTTACTCTTCTTAAAGAATTTACTTTTCTAAATGAGATTTTAAGGTTGTTTTATGGTGTGTATTATATAGATTTAGAGAGGGGAATGCTACTTACTAATATTCAGGTTCTAAGTACAGTTCCCTTGTTGTTTTTAACATCTTTGTCTGCTATGCCTTCAGGAAGACATGCATCTCTGTAGGCAATTTTGTCTTTATCACCTGTGTTGAAGTTTTTTGACTCACAGTCAGCAGGAAAGGCAAACTGGATCCCAGGGTGAGAGATTCCTTTCCCTTCTCAAGTCCTCTTACTTTTTTCCTCTTTTTATCCTTCTTAACCTCACCTCATAGTTGTCAGGTGATAGATAACCTTGCATATCAGGCTGCTGCTTTTAAGTTCCAGAAGTCTTTGGTAAGGGCATGGGGGTAGGCTTGTACAGTCTAAGAAGTAGACAGGCTTTGTAGGCCTTCTAGAGTCCCATTTTTACCAAAGGAAATCATAAATAAACCCTTAGCTGTCTGATGGACAACTGCAACAGGATGAAAAGACTTGGCATCTCTGTCGCCCTCTCTGCTGCCATCACCCTTAGGTCAGGTGCTATTCAGCCTTCCTGTGGACATGCTGATCCCCTGGAGGAGCTGTCTTCTATTCTCCTACAATATCTTCTAGCAACTCTAGTACCTAGAGTTTGCAGCCTCTACTCTACCCCTTAGGCCCTTACGTATCTAAATCCTTCGGGCAAACCAGTAAAGGCCTGCTTTTCCCTTTGTTGGGGAACAGCCTGGTCTCCTCTGTGATCAGCGCCAGCTCCTTTCCACTTGAAAGCCATTAAAGTCTTGCATGTATTCCTGCACACTTGGCTTGGTCTCATTTCTATTGTTTCCATGCCAGAGGACCCTAAGTCTCCAGTAACACCATTGTCAGAATAAAATCTGAATGCTTTAGTATGGCTCTGTCGATTTCCCTGACAGGTTCACAGACTGGGTGGCTTAAAAGAGAAAATACTCCCTTGTAGTCCCAGTGACCAGAAGTCTAAGATCAAAGTATTGGCACCCTCTGAGGCATCTGGATAAAGTCCAATCTTTTTCTCTTCCTCCTCTCTTTCCTCCCTCCCTTCTATACTAGGGATGGAGCCCCAGAGCCTTGCACATGATAGACAAGTAGTCCACCACTTCCTGCCTATTTCATCAGCTGGCAGTGGCCGGTAGTCGTGGCTTGTAGGTGCCTCATTCCATCTTCTCACATGGCCTTCCCTTTTTATAAGAGGGTCATGGTGTGTTAGGGGTTACTCTTATAACCTCATTTAAGCTCTATTACCACTAAAAGACCCGATTTCTAAGTAAGGTCTTCGGTACTGGGACAAGGACTTTGACATGCATATTTGAGAGGACATAAATTCAGCATATTACAAAGACACTGTGAAGGGAAGCTTTAAAACTTTAGCCTGCTTCTTTGGGAAAGAATGGATTAGGAAGGAGGGATTATGAGCAGCAGTCCAGTGGAAGAATTCCTTTCTCCGCGTGGTCTAGAGAAGGAGCATGTATGTCTCTGTCCTCATGAGTCAGTTCATTTATTCAGTAAGTGTTCCTCCAGATACAGTGGCATTTTGGGAAGTGAGTTAGACTTGCTAGCTGATAGACGAGCTTATTCTTGAAACCTTCCTCTTCACCGAAGAAAGCTGTCAGAAATGGTTTCCTTTTAGAGAGCAGAGTCAGCCAGAAGTTGGGATCATCCTACCCCTTGCCACTCTCCCTCAGCATAAGAGTAAATTCCACCTTGGACTTTTTCTTTAAAAAGTTTTTCATTTTTATTTTTAAAATATTGCTGGGCGTGGTGGTGCACGCCTTTAATCCCAGCCCTTGGGAGGCAGAGGCAGAAGGATCTCGGTGAGTTCAAGGCCAGCCTGGTCTACATAGTGAGTTCCAGGACAGCTGGAGCTACAGGGAGACCCTGTCTCACAAAGACAAACAAAATTTTTATTTTTTATGTATGTGAGCGCTTTGCCTGCATGTATGTAAATGCACCATGTATGTGCAATGCCCGCAGAGGCCAGGGTTCCCCTGGAACTGGAATTATGGACAGATGTTAGCCATCATGTGGGAGCTGGGAATTGAACCCATTTCCTCTGGAAAATAAGTGTTTTTAACTGCTGGGCCATCTGTCCAGCCCCAAGATTTTCATTTTTCAATTGAATTTATCTTCAAAAGTTGTAAACAAGCAATAATGTGTAGTGATATATAAGGAAAAACTTAAAAGTTTCTCCACATACTTGGCATAGGTTTTTCTGGTGTTGCTCTCTAGCCACGTATGGTGTAGTGTTGATATTGTTGTCCTATGATTGTGTTTGCAGTGACAGTGCATTGGTGCCCGTCTCATCTGCCCCCTGTCCTGCATGTTCCTCAGGGCTAACATTTTTGTGGTTGCCCATGGCCTGGCATACCAGTTTATGTAGCCGTTGCATCCTGGCAGATGACTGTTAACTATAGGACTCCTTTTGCACAGTAGCCCTGACTCCACTGTGGGCAGAGTTCTGAATTCATCCATTTTGCTGTCTTTCCTGGGTTAACTGATGATACTAGAAGCCCTATACCTTCTTTCCCCCAGAGAGCCTCTGGTCTGTTAAAGACCCTTCCTTCCCTGGCTTGTATCTCCCCCTTAAACAACAACTTTCCTTATTGCAGTTCAAGTTCTGTGTTCCAGTCCTCCCCAACTTCACTCTGCCCTAGGGTGGACCTCAAATGTGGCAGGATCCTGAAAGAAAAGTACTTGGTGCTTTTTGAGAGCTTCACCTATGCCGTGGGGATGGGGTGTGTACTCATCAACCCATGTATGTGAGAAGAGGAGTATGCTATATGCGTGAGGGTGTATATATTGTAGGTATATGTATGTTTTGTGTACTTGACAGTGTACATGTGAATTCACATGCGGGCATAAGTGTTTCTCTGCCTATCTGTGTGTCTGTCCATTCCCACTAACCCTGAACTCCATCTCTTTACCCCCTACAGTGAGGGTTCCCTATTTCATTGACTTGAAAAAACCACAGGATCAAGGTTTGAATCACACCTGCAATTACTACCTCCAACCAGAGGAAGATGTAACTATTGGAGTCTGGTGAGTGTCTGTAATCAAGACAGCAGGGTAGAGAGGGGCACCAGCTACTCTGGCCCCTCTCCAGGAGGCTGGAAGGGAAGGGCTCTGCTCAGTTCAAGCAGTGCCCTTGACACTGGACTCAAATGCTGTTGCTTGTTTTTGTCTTCATCCATTCATATTGCCAAGGGAAGAGCTCAGCTAAATTTGATCCTAGTAGTGCAGGGTGAATTGGCACCAAACTCTATCCTGAGGTACAGCAAACGCTTTGTTACTTACCATATTGTTTTTAGAGTCTTATTTCCAAGGTTTAAAAAAAAAAAACAGCTAGAGACAAGTACAGATATGAACGTAACTTTTCAGAGAAGTAAATGACCAGCTACTGCCTGCAGTGCTTCTCAGAAGCCTGTGAGAGTGATGTTTACTTTTTCCATAAATTTAAGTTGGACTGAAGCCCTATGGCTTCTCTGTTTCCTTGGAATACATTTTAATGGTTTTTGTGTGTAAGTGGTTATTCCTAAACAACTGGATCAAAATTGACCAGTCTTGCAGTAGTCTTTTCTTTTTTTCTCTGAGAAGCAGCTCTGAGTTACTGTTCTTTTTTATAGCTGGGTTTATTGTTTAGTCGCCATAAAGTCTCTTTCTGCTGCCTCAGAAACCCACTGTGTATGTGAGAAGTGTGTAAATGAACACAATGAGTGGGCTCCTAGTGTGGCTGAGAGGACCTTCAGATGCTTCAATTGACGTTCGTTGTTAAAAAGAACATACAATGAGAGCTGAGATTCTTGTTTTCAAGCAGTGGGTGCTGGGAGTAGAATCGTTTTGTCTTTTTTTTTTTTTTTTTTTTTTTTTTAAATCTAGCAGTCTCTGATCCATGAGTGCTTGAAGGACTTTCAAGAACCTGAACTGCTATCCTAGAGCTGTGTAGGAGAAGAGTTGTCCCTTGTATTAGGAGCAGGGCTCTGTCTTGTTGCAGGAGGGCTTTTCTGGTAGTACTTAGGTGAAAGCACTGACAACACTTGTATAAAAATTGTCAGGTACCTAGAAGAGTTGTAGTGATTGTCACAGCCAGGCTCAAGGTGTAATGGCAGCTGTGCAGTTTGTTGCTGGGCACCAACTGCTGCCCCTGTACCATTGCAGTGACAGCAGTGCCTTGGAAAGCAGCAGACTCTGTTCACAACTGCCCTCCCCATCATCTCCTCAGAACCCCCACCACCTTCCCCAGAGGGAGGATGTAAAGGCCTGAGTGCAACCCGAGGACCATTCTTAGCTATCAGCTCAGTCTCAACTGCCCTCTGCCAACAGGTTGAAGGAGAGCACACTGGGCCTTTGTTGGAGCTCCACGTTCTTGGTAGACTAGCTTCTAGAAGCATATCAGCTCCCAGCATCTAAAACACACACACACACACGTCCATCCATCCATCCATTCATCCATACTGTATTGCATAGGCTGGCCAAGAAATCCTAGAATCTAGCAATCCTGCCACAGCCTCTCAAGCAGCTGGCATGCACCACTGCACCTGACTGTTTAGACCTTATATCCCATAGCTTGTCATTGTATAGGAGTGATAATTTAATGGCTAGAACCACCCAAAAAGAGATCCTTGTGAATAGACCAGAGAGATACATTTAAAATGAGATACTGAAGATTAGAACCCTTAGAAAATAAAGACCTGGTACTTGATTTTTAAAGGATTCATGTCATTGGTCATCAAGTATGAATTTGGTTAAGATTTCTTCTTTTTTCCCCTTTGATCTTTTTGAGACAGGGTCTCCCTGTAGCCCCAGCTGTCTTGGAATTAGCTATGTAGACCAGGCTGACGTAGAACTCACAAAGATCTACCTGCCTCTGTCTCCTGAGTGCCAGGATTAAAGGTGTGCGCCACTGTGTCCAGCTTCGCTAAGATTTCTAGGGAAAAAAAAAAACCACATTACTTTAGACCTTCCCCAGTGATTAACAGTATTCACTTTGGCCCTTATGTGTCTCTGAAGGAGGGTTTGGCCAAGTAGAGTAGTAATCTCCAGGATCCTGGCTAGGCCTGGGTCAGCCTGGCTGATGGTGAACTTGTCCATGTATCTGTGACTCTAGAATGCCAGAAGACTCTATCTAGGGAGCCTCCAGTTAATACAGGATAGAGTTCTCTCACATCCAGCTAATGGCCACCAATAAAAGATGCTTGGCCATCAAGAGGCCCTTTTGCACGCTGAAGAGATGGCTCAGTGGTTAAGAGCACTGGCTGCTCTTGCAGAGGACCTGGGTTCAATTCCCAGCACCCTCATGGCATCTATCAACCATCCATAACCCCAGTTCAAGGGATTTGATGCCTCTTCTGACCTCCACAGGCATTGCACAACACGGTGCACTTACATGCATGCAGGCAATATACTCATACACATAAAATAAGATAAAAATAATAAAAGTAGAATAAAAAGAGGTCCTTTTTCTCCCTCTGAGACTATCAGCAGCTGACCTTGCAGTTTACAGTTCCTAGTTATTTATTCTAAGGACAGGACAATGTGCCACTCACCCCTTTGTCCTCTTGTAGGTAGAAGTTCTGTTGCTCTCTGTGACTGGTGCTGTCTCCACAGACCCTCATATAGGTATCACCATGCATAAGGGGCATCAGATTGCTCTTCCCTCTGCTTCTGTCTGCAGGCACACCATCCCCTCAGTCTGGTGGAAGAATGCCCAAGGGAAGGACCAGATGTGGTATGAGGATGCGCTGGCTTCCAACCACCCCATCATTCTCTACCTTCATGGGAATGCAGGTACCAGGTAAGCCCACACAGGCAGTATGTTTTCCCCACAAAGCCTGGCTCCTTCCTGGACTGGGAATGTATTGGCTCAGACTATTGGTAATGGGCCAATGTTTGCTGACCTACTGCACCAAATGGAGCTTCTCAAGAACAAAGGAAAAATAAAGTTCTTCCCCAACTGGGGCAGTTTGCAGGTGGCAGCACTGTGTGCAGAGGACCAGTGGGTCTCATCTGTCCAGAGTACCGGCCCTGCCTCCCTAGGACACAGTGCTGAGCAGCTTAGGAAGCTGCGCCCAGCTTGGGGTGGAGGAGGGTCTCTGTCAGGGGCACTGAGCTCCTCCAGGTAGAAGAGGTTCCTTCTTTCTGCTTAGGGTCAAAAGCACTGTCAACTGGCCTGTGGTTTAGGAAGCAGGGCTTCTCAGTAAAGAGGAGGAGGTCACTCAGAGGAGGGGTGGTGATGACACTTGATGGTGGCCTCAGCACACCCTTGGGAAAAATAATGTTTCCTTTTCACTTTTCTGTGTCTGTCATCTCTGGTCTGAGGATTGACAGACAAGTCTGTCTTACTTAGAGATAGACCCAGGGTGTAGCCTAGGGCAGCTATGGGAAAAAGCAGGCACACTTTAGGAAAAGAGACAGTGAGTATTGAAAAGTGACAGGAGGGGACAGTAGGTTGAGGCCAGCCTCATCTGAGCATTCATGAACATGTTTATCCTTCTGGGCTGCCTCTGGGTGAACCTCTTCTAACAGCCTTGACACAAGCAGCATCAGCTGTCCTATGGGCCCCTGATGAAGTATACACTTTGTCCAGATGGGCCTTGCCGTTTTACCCCAGATGCTTCTCATGAGTGGGTTTAATCCCTTATCCTTCAGGATGCCTTGAGCTGGAGTTGCTCTCCCACTCAAAGATCCCATGTTCTTTTCACACAGGGTGTTGTTCAGAAAGGCCTCTGGGGTGCTTGGATGGGGGAGGAGGGAGGTACATTTTTCTAAGCAAAGTATTATTTGAAAATCCTAGAGTCCCTATTTCTGTAGCTTCTTTAGGTTGCCTGTGAGAGAGCCAGGGTGAGCTAGCAAGGAGGCAGCCCTTTACTAGCAGAGTAGAGTGTGAGGGTCACTTTGGGGTATACCTTTTATAGGCAGAAACAACAAAAACAATGTATGGGCTTTTCTGGAGGGGAAAGCAGTCCTGGGTAGATGTCTCTCATGGAGCCGTGCAGGGGGTATTATAGAAAGAGCCCAGAAGTACAGCCCACAGACTGGTCTCTTGCCAAGAGCAGAATGTTTGGCTAGTGAGTCAGATATGCTCTGCACAGTTTACTGTCTGATTTGTTGGGAACAAGCTGCAGTAGATTTCGCTTCTGCTTTTCAAAGACCAAGTGGCTATAAACAGCTCTTGTAGCATCTTTCCATAAATGACAAAACCGTAGTTGGCTGTGAATAATGCTCAGTTCTGTCAATCCTGTGGTTTTTAATAAAAGACAAAGCCTCCTTGTAACTTCAGGTCTGAAGGTAATATGGGGATGGTCAATGATTTACCACGTTTCTGTACCCCCAGAGACTGCCTATATTGCAGGTCTCTGTCTGGTCCTGTCTACATCCCATCTCTCGAAGACTTTGCCCCGTTTACTGAGACCCTTCTCTGACCTACCCCTCTCTCCGGCAGGGTCCCCTGGCTAGCTCCATCGGTCTCCAGGATCATAGCACTGAAGTCTTTTGAAGGTCCAGCATTCTGGGTTTCAGCTCCCCCACCATTCTTTTTTTCCTTTTGATGGGGAGAGTTTGGAAATTTTAGGAACGCAATCTTCTAGAGATAATTAAAAACATTTTGCACCATTTTTCTCTGGTCTTGAAACTCATTCCTTTGCAGTTTTTGTGTCTCTGATGTATTGGTTTCCCTCCTCCATCTCATTCCTGGGTCCCTACAATGCTAGTCCCACTCACCATACACCTGAAATTGTTTCAGTGCTCATTAGGAAATAGAGGGAAAATAGCTGTGAAAGATCGAGAGGAGAAGAAGAAATGCTTGGTAAGATTAGTCTGCTGGGGAGCTGACCATTCTCGCACACCATGGTGAGAGGCGAGGGTCTCCTGATGAAAGGTTTAGCAGGTAGGCACAGCACACAGACCTGTGTCTAGGAGGATGTCCCACACGCAGGGCACATATATGCGAAGGGACATAAGTGTAGCCTGAGGTACCAGCAGGTGGGAAGGAGCTTTGATGACCAGAGGATAAGGACAGGAAATAAGGGGTAAAACAGGAAGGTATTGGAGCACGTTCCCTGTTTGATATGTGCCTTTGAATCTGGTGCTATAAGTGTTCATTCCCTGCAGAAAAATTGAAATACAATAACTAAGAAATCTCCCTAAGGTGCTCCTCCCAGTACTGCTGGAGGCAAGTTTGAGGCCATTTAGGGGGACCTGAAAAGTAAGTTATGTGTCCACCATAACCCTCTCTTTGAAATAGGGCTTGGGATCCCAGACTGTTGAACGTCATCCTGCATCCCACTCAGGGACACTAACACCACTTCCTGTTTCTTTCCCCTCCATGCTGCAGAGGAGGCGACCACCGAGTGGAGCTGTACAAGGTGAGTGGCGCTGGGCCAGAGGAGCAGTGCTGTTTGCTGCAGGAGGCAGGAACAGAAGGGGTAACTCACCAGTCTGAAAAGTCTCCCTTTGTGGACATGCTGGAAGGCAGTGCCTGGTAGTTCTCCCATGGTTCTTCCTCTGCTGCCGGTGGGGTGCAGAACCAGCGCATGCACTTTGGGGATTATCTCCCAGGTGTTTGCTAGTGAGATGAAAGGCATTTGCCACCATTTCTAGTGAGGTGTTCCTCAAATGTGTAAGTGCTATGCAGCCCTGCTTACTGTAGCCTCATCTCTGAGGGGAGTGGGTAGAGAGGCAGGTGGGATTTGAGTCAGGTTCCAAGCAGGCTTATTAGGAAACCCCTGAAGGTAAAGATTTGTGCTTTGGGCAAGGCATGTGATCCTTTACTTTCATGTAGTTTTGTCAAAGCAAAAAAATTTTATTACCTTTAACTTATTTCTGTATGTGTGTGGATACAACACACATTCCATGGCATGTGTGTGGAAATCAGAGGAAACTAGTGGGAGTTGGTTTTCTCCTTCCATAATGTAGGTCCCAGGGATTGAACTCGGCTTGTCAGCCTTGGCAGCAAGTGCCTTTACCTGCTGAGCCACCTTACTGGCCCTGTGGTTTATTCTTGATCTTGGAACTCAAGAGATGCCATTGGTACAGCATACTAGGCCCACTCATGCCTGCCCTCTTCTCCTTTCAAAGAGGTGTCGTCATCACCTAGCAGGGCCGAAGGGAACATATACAGATGTGTAGACCCTTCTTATTCTGGGAAGTAGGGGAGTTTATTCCCCAGAGTAAGTTGGGTCAAGGCAGGAAAGGTAAGTGCCTACAAAGTTACCAGTTCCTTTGAGGTTTCTGCAATAGAAAAAAAATCTCGCTGCCCAGCTCCAAGGCTCTGGGTACAGGCTAGGAGAGGGCAGAAAGCACCAGGCTACCTGAGAAAGTACCATGTCTTCCTAAAGATGGGCTAGTAAGTTGCTTTGGGTGACAGTGGGGGTGGCATGGAAGTCTCCCACATTGCTCCAAGCATACCCAGCCAATGTACAGGGCATTGCACACAATCTTACTGAGAAAGAACAGTTAGAAAAATTCAACAAAATCAGAGAAGTACTGGATTGCAGAAAGGGTCCTCAAATGGGGTCTCTGAGGTCTACCAGCATGGTAGGTGCTCAAACCTGACAGTGCCTGATGGCTGTCTGCTGCTCTGGTGTCATCCTGGGAACTGTAGGAGCTGACCAGAAGAAGTCAGTACATCCTGCAGCAGCAGGTCCAGGCAGGAGCTGCACATCAACAGAGTCCTAAGTCCCTACTGTACGCAAGGCACAAAGGACAGACCTCTAGACGGGTTTAGTAGGAAGCAGCCTGCTCAGTTGAGACGTATTATCAAAGATGTGTTTTTCACTTCATAGGTGCTGAGTTCTCTTGGTTACCACGTGGTCACCTTCGACTATAGAGGTGAGGTTTCTTTTAAGAGTGTATCTGGGAGCTGGAGAGATGGCTCAGCAGTTAAGAACACTGGTTGTTCTTGTAGAAGACCCAGGTTCGAATCCCAGCACCCACATGGCAGCTAACAACTGTCTGTAACTCCAGTTTCAGGGGATCTGACGGCCTTTTCTGTCCTCCTGGGGCATTGCACGACATGGGTGCACTTACCTATGTGCAGGCAATACATGCATACACATAAAATAAAAATAATAAACATTTTTTTAAAAAAAGAGTGTATCTGAGCATGCCTTCACTTTCCTGATTATACTAAATGGACAGACTTGCTTCAGAGCTTTGAAGCAAGTCAGGCAGCTTGTTTGTGCAATGCTGGGCCTGCAGTAACGCAACTGTCAGTTGGGAGGAAGAGTTCGGTAAATTCTGCTGCAGGTTCTGGATGCTGACTTCTCTGACAGTGCTCCTGATGTGGGGCCCCAGCATAATACCCTGAAAGCAAATTTAAATGCAGAAGACACCGTCTTTTCTGTTTTGGACTCGGGCTCTCCCTGCACTGGACATTAGACACTAGCTCAGCAGCAGAGCTAGCTTGTTGAAATGATAAGAACAGGAAAAAGATTCACGGAGAGAAAACAGATTCTTGTCTCTCACTGGCACTGCTTGTTTTATTTAGTTGGGGTTGCCACTGGGCTGACTGAAAGTCCAGTTTGATATATGCTTCAAGCGTTCTGAAGGAGCAGCAGAATGACTTCGTATGAACAGTGAGCAGCTGTTTTAAAGGAATACCCCTCCATGCAATCCCCAGTGGAGAGTTCAGGGGACAGTGGCTATTTTTAGCCAACGTGTCCTGACCTTCTGGGGGAGGACAGTGATTCCGATGCTTTTAGGCTAAAAGATGGGAAGAGACGGAGGCTGCTGCCCGCTGCAAATGGGGTTATATTCATTTTCTTTGTTGCTGTAGTAAATTACTGCAAACATCATATCTTAAAACAAGGCAGATGTGTTATGTTGTAGTTAGAAAGATCAGAATTCCAAAACCTTTAGCCCCTGGCTAGGAGCGCTGCCAGCGGGCTTTGTCCTTCAGTAGTTTCTGAGAAGACCCCGCCACCTGCCTTTCCCAGCTATACTTCTTGGCTCATGGCTGAGCTCAGACCCTGACTTTTGTGCTTTCTTTTTCTTTTGAGTACTTGGGCTCCAGGTAATCCAGGCTCACCCCCACTTCCAGGTTGGCCTAAGAGTGACATGTTCACCAGTTGGATTAGGATGTGGGTGTCTCCAAGGTCAGCTATTCTGCTGACCACGTTGATGGCTCTCACTGAAGAAAGTTTTATCCCTTCTCCACTCTTGCTCATGTTTGCTGGACACCCTAGGGTGACGAGAAGACCACCTTCCTTCTGTGTTCACCTCCCTGTAGCCTGTCAAGAAAAGATCCCTGGTACCTTCTCTTTCCAGTTCTGTGTCTCTGTATGTCTGTGTGGCGGGGGACTACCCCATTCTATGTCTGACTGTTCCTACTTCCTGTTACTCTTTCTGTCCCTGTCTTCATAGTCCCATGTGCTTATCCCCCTTGGGGTGTCCTGAGCTTTCAGCCATGTTATTCCTCCTCAGCTCCTCCTTCCTGAAGTTGGGAGACTGGCAGCCTGTCCTCTTGTGCATTATAATTACGGGGTTTGCTTACACAGCAGAACTGCCCTTCTGAGCCTTGTGCTATGTTCAGATCATGTGGTGATGACTCAGTGCTGAGCCACCAGAAAGACAGTTGCACTTGACTTTTGCTGGAGACCAAGCGGGGAGAATTGGAGTTGCCTTAAGACTGGAAATCCCCCTGCCTCCCTGCAGCATCATGACTTATTCTCTGCACTATTCTTCTGTGGGTCCTGGGCAGGCTGGGCTCTCCTTGGCTGGGCTTGTCAGCACTCCATCTGGCCTGGCCCTACCAAGACTAGGTGTTTGCCTGTCAATAGGGTGGAGGGAGAGCTGGCTTAGAGGATACTTGCAGTTGTAAGGCAGATGCTGGCAGAGCATGTGTCTGAGGCTGGGGGGAGTGGGGGGTGATTTTGCTGACTCTGTTCTAGTAGTTACCAGTCAGATATGCAGAGCATCTATATAGAATGACCAGGAACCTCTGGTTTTTCAGTCAGCAAGGATAGGGGAAGGTCACCTCCATGCCTTCCTGCCTCTCTTACTCCACTAGAGCTGGAGAGGAAGTGAGGTACACAGGTGGGACTGCAGACACTCAGTAGGCAGCTTCCCCGGTGGCTCCTCTGGTTTCAGAAACTGCATTTGACTTCCCCCTCCTGCATTCTCTCTCTCAGGTTGGGGTGACTCAATAGGATCACCATCGGAGCGAGGCATGACGTATGATGCACTCCATGTTTTTGACTGGATCAAAGCAAGAAGTGGTGATAATCCTGTGTATATTTGGGGCCATTCACTGGGCACTGGGTAAGAGCTCCCAAGCACAAGGAAGCCCTGTTGGAGGCAGGTCTAATGTGTGACCTCTAAGGCGGCTTGATGCCTCTTACCCTGTAACACCATCTTTCCTTGTAGTCCTGGTTCCTTGTCCCTGTAGTGGTGGTTGGGGATGGGGTATAAAGCTCTATCAGGGACTAAGGAGAAGTTGAGCTCCTATAGTTATTACTCAATCCAGAAGTGACTCAGGACCAGCATGGGCATTGGAAGTGGCAGCCAGTGTCCCAGGGAGCCCTTTCCCCCAGAGGCATCTTGAGAGTGCAGATGGGATACCTGGGCTGTGTCAAGTGTGACTTTGGGGTGTGTATGTAAACCATTGAGTCCAAGAGTACAATGCAGAGATGTTTGGAAGTAGCTTGGTCACTTTGCCATGCTTAGCCTAACAGGAAGAGTGATCTGTGGCCCTTTTCCTACATCTGCCAAGACAGGAAACACCTTCATGCTCCATTTTTGAGCAGCCTGGATTCTGCTGAGCAAGGTCCTGAGTATTTCTTAAAGGAGCTGTGGTCCTTGCCTTCTTCCTTAACACCGTATCCTTCAGGCACATTGACTGATAACTTTCTCAGCCCTTTCTCCTCACTTGGATGGCATCCTGCAGGCCAGGAATGCCTGTTCCTCATGAGGAGAGGGAGCTTCTGTGGAAGAATACTGGCCATCTCTGTAATAGCATGCGCTGCTGCCTCTGGGTACTCTCCTCTCCTGTCTCAGCAGTACCTGTGCCAACCCACCAGGGTGCCAGCCAAGGGAAGGAATAGGGCAACCTGTGGAAGACTATTCCTGGAGAGGTACCAACACATGCCTAAGGACAGGAGAGTGCCTGTTGTCACAGCATAGGAAGAGTCAACTGATGGTTCAGCTCTTGTTCCTCTGGGGCGTCTTCCCTCTCCTGCCCTGAAACTCCAAGTTTTCAGGTCACGGCTTCTCTGGGCGCTCTCCAGGATTAGCACAGTCTCATCTAAAATGATTTTGACCATAATTCAGCTGAACTCTAATTTTTCTTCCCAGGGTGGCAACAAATCTGGTACGGCGCCTCTGTGAACGAGGTGAGGGAGCCCTGGCGGGGTGCCTTATTGTATGGGTTAGCAGTCCAACCCCTGCTGCACATTCTTGCTAAGCACAGTGATGGCATGAGCTGAGCATCAAGGGTGGGGCCCCAGGTGTGCTCAGAGATGATCTTGCCCTGCCCTCCCGTCGGCCATTGGGGGCCCCTTGGTGACTGGGGTTGAGAGTGGTAGGAGGCCTATAGAAGTGGGTGCCTGGGTGGAAGAATTTCACTGTGGGTGTCCTGTGCTGCCCTAGTAACCCTACCACCCAGCTCCATGGGCTTGTCTTGCTGTTACATCTTGCCTATCTCAGATTTCTGTTTTTGTTTTTCTAGAGACACCTCCAGATGCCCTTATATTGGAGTCTCCTTTCACTAATATCCGTGAAGAAGCAAAGAGTCATCCATTTTCAGTGGCAAGTACATGGTTTTATGAAAAATCATCTAATTTCATTATTAAAATAATTGCTATGAAAGTATAAAAATAAGAACAATTAGATAATAAAAATAGTAAGTATAAAAACAATTTCTCTAGAGTTGTCAATATATAAGTCTTGTTTTGGCAACCATATTGAGTTTTCAAAGGGTGTAGCTTTCATGTCTAGAAGATACTGTCTAGCAGCAGGTATCCTGATCCTCTGACTCTCCGATCCCAAGTAGCCAGTCCTAAGCACATGTACATACTAGCACCACTAAATGGACTCAGTAGATTATTTATATATGTGTACACACACACACACACACACACAAATATACATAATGATAAGGAAGAAGAGATCAAGATACTGAAAGGGAGTGAGGGGAATGTGAGAGGGTTAGAAAGAGACAAGATAAGGCAGAAATAATGTAAATATAGTACTCATATATGAAATTCTCAAAAAATTGAAAATTTAAATTAAAAAGATATAAACCTTTTAAGGGGAAGCCCCTGATGTGGCTGATCTGTGGGGTCTGGCAGGTGAGTCTTCTGTTGCCAGCCACAAAGCCAGGACAAAGCTGGGGGTAGCTAGTGCCCCCTTCACTGAACATTCCTCTCATTCCCTTAGACGGAGTAGCTAAGGGTAGCATCTTATAAATTTAAACTGAATTTAAACTCCTGAACTCTTGTTGTTTTTCTTCTGTGTGGCTATCTTAATATTTAATACTTCTGAAAATGTTTTCTGTCTTGTGTTCAGATATATCGATACTTCCCTGGATTTGACTGGTTCTTCCTAGATCCCATTACAAGCAGTGGAATTAAGTTTGCAAATGATGAAAAGTGAGTATTGTGGTAGAGTGAGTTATCTTTCAACATAGAAAAATACAGGGAACCTCCACTTCTGCCCCGTGGTCATATTAGCCAAACAGCGTAGAATTCAGAAGACAGGATTGTTCTCTAAGAAAACGTCTTTGAAAGGGGAAAATGAAGCAGAACTTTGCATTGGAAACAAGGGTACTTTAAAAAATTGTGTGTGTGTGTGTGTGTGTGTGTGTGTGTGTGTGTGTGTGTGTGCAGGGGAGGGGCACATGCATGCCACACTGCATATGGAGGTCAGAGGACAGCTTTCAGGAGTCAGTTTTCTCCTTCCACCTTGTTGAGGCAGGTTGGTTCTCTTGTTTCTGCCATGCTACATATTCTAGGCTAGCTGAGCCACAAGCTTCTGGACAGTTCTGCCTCTGGCTCCCATCTCACCATATGAATGCTGTTTACAGATGTACTGTCACATCTGGCTTTTTTACACAGGTCTCAGAAATTGAACTCAGGTCATCAGGCTTGCACAGCAAGTACTATACTCATTGAGACATCTTGATAGCCTAGAAATAAAGAATTTTAAAGGCTATAGAATTAAAGCAATGTTATAATATCACATTTTTGCCCATATAATTATTTTTTCAAAGTCTTGAAACCAGAACTCCTGAATAGGCATTATAGCAATAAATTTAGCAATGTATTCTTTGAAACAGATGTTTAAACATGAAGTACTTTTCCTTCAAGTGTGTATTTTGGCTCTAAAAAATACACCTGGGCTTGGTGACACGTCTTTAGTCTCAGCACTCGGGAGGCAGAGGCAGGCAGATCTCTGGAATTGAGGCCAGCCAGGTCTTCATAATGACTCCAGGCCAGCTGGGGGTATCAAAAAGACCAAAAAGTAAAAATATAGCAATGAGGGTTGGAGAGATGGCTCAGCAGTAAGAGCACTGGCTGTTCTTGCAGAAGACCTGGGTTTGGTTCCCAGCACCCACATGGCAGCTAGCAACTGTCCTAACTCCAGTTCCAGGGAATCTGATGCCCTCTTCTGACCTCTGTGGGCATTATATGACATGGGTACACTTACGTACATGCAGGCTATACACTCATACACATAAAATTAAAATAATAAATGTATACATATAAAAAAAACAAAAATACAGTAAATAAAAATTAAAATTTAAGTGATCATTAAAAGCAAAAATTCCTACTTATCCTAAGCATTACCATTTTAGATCATAAAGGAAAGTGATTGGAATAAAGCAGATTTCTTCTTTAAAAACAAAAGTGAGCAGTGGACCCCAGGAAGCCTCCCTTGGCTCCACTCTTTTCACCAAGCTGGCATATTGGCTGCATGACCATGGAACAATGGAGTCTCCAACCCTCATGTCAGCCTCACGTGCTTCTTGGACCTTCCTGAGCTCAGTGTCTGTACCACTGCTTTCTCCAGGAGCCTCAGGTTGAAGGAAACCACTCACCAGAAATGCTCTACCCTGGGCTGGGGAACTTGCTTAGTCAGTAAGATGCTTTGCCTTACAAGCATGAGGACATGACTTTGAGCCTCAGAGCACATGTAAAAAAGCCAGGCATGCAAATGTGTGCTTGTAATACCAGTGCTAGGGAGGTAGAGACAGGCAGATCCCTGCGGCCCAGTCACTGGCTAGCCTAGTCTACCTGATGACTTCTAGGTCAGTGAGAAGTCCTGTCTCACAAAAATGTGGCTGGCACCTACGGGATGCTACCCCAGGTTGTCCTCTGGCCTCCACCTACAGGTGCATCCTGTATATGCGCATACACACAAGGCATGCTCTACCATGAATCAAGTGTGTGTTATGTGCCACTAGGAGGCTGCATGTGGGCGGCCAGATCTCCTCAAGCCAGGGCCTGCCCCAGGTGCCAGAATGGTACTGTGCTGTCCTCAGGGAGCTCACAGCTCTGATGGGGATCAAGATTCAGACAGCTCAAGTGAGAGGCTGAGCCCAGACCCTGTCCGGTCCTGTCAGCTGGTCTGTTACATGATTTGCCGAAGAGGTCTGACTCTGTTGAACCTATTGTCCCATGTACATGTAAAGGTTCAAAGCTCAAGTGACTTAAATGTCATTTACACCAAAGATGAAATAGAGGACTGATTCTTTTAACCGATGGATTCATAGTAGCATTCATTTGCAGTTTCTTAGCCCACTTAAATGATCCAGTTATAAATAGTGTTTTGAAACTTCAGTGACAAAAGTAACAATTTTGTTTTTGCAAATTACATAGGAGCCAGATGTGGGGGAGCAAAATGATCTCTAGATTTGACTGACATCTGTCACCTAGCTGGAATATATACCGATTTAAAAAAAAAAAAAAAAAAAAAAAAACAACCAAGAAATGAGCTCTTAGTTCTATAGCAAAAAGAAACCCAGCCACATTCAGGCTGTTAAGCACCAAGGTGAACATATCCTTAGCCCGGATGCCTGCCCAGTGTGAGGGGTGCAGGTGACCCCCTCCTTGGTTTTTCATCTAGCCCCTCCCTCCTACAGTGTGAAGCACATCTCCTGTCCTCTGCTCATCCTGCATGCTGAGGATGACCCAGTTGTGCCCTTTCAGCTTGGCAGAAAGGTGAGTGTTCTGTGGCTTTGCCCCTGGTGCATCAGATACCACAGGCCCCCGAGTATGGATCAGGCAAGGGTAGGGAAGAGGCCCCTGCATGCTACGTCATGGAGTGGGCCCAGGTCACTCAGGCATCTCCCCAAGCAGCATAAGAGGTGTGATGTTAAGTTCGGGACCAGAGCACTGTTCTGTCCTCAAGAAACTATGGTAGACAAGCATCAGAGCCCAAACTGACATGGGAGGACTGAGGGGACAGCACCAGGCCTAGTCAGCAAAGCTGACATGAAGACATCTCGTTTGTCTTCTTGCTTTGGGGAATAGACTGCATGGAACCATGCCTTTATTTCTGCTAAATCAGCATTGACTTTTCTGCCAGGAAGTTGGATTAGATTTGTGGGGGGAAAATAGTGGGGTAAAGAACACCATCTGGGACATGGCCATGGCAAGGGGTAGATGACCCTCTTAGAGGAGTGCATGCTGTGCCTCATCAACAGACTTGGCCCAGGTCTCAGAGCATTTCCACTGTGGGTAGGTTCCACATATATTATCAGAGGGGAAGCGGATCTCCCTTGGGCTCTGGGCCTTCGTGTCAGGTTCCATCCGTGGGCCCTGAAGCATCTCTCCCTCTGCAGCTCTACAACATTGCAGCACCATCTCGAAGCTTCCGAGACTTCAAAGTCCAGTTTATCCCATTTCATTCAGACCTTGGCTACAGACATAAGTACATCTACAAGAGCCCTGAGCTTCCACGGATACTGAGGTGAGATATTCTCTTCTATCCTATGAGCCTTGCCTGGACAGTGATGCCTCACATCTAGGCATGCAGCAGGTAGTGGCCACTGAAGCCCTGTGAGGGGCTCAGCGGGGTGCAAGGTCACAGCAGTTCAAGACAGGCTTACAGAGTTTGTTTCCCTTCACTTCTGAACTGTTCTCTGCTCAGACAGAGTAGGTGGTCTCCCTGTTACACTCACCGTACAAGCTCACAGGAAGCTATGTAGATACAAACAGGGCCTTTCATTATGCACACCCACCATTCCCAGCACATGGGAGGCCTCATATGTAACAGAAGTGCTCAGACAGTTTCTTGAAGACAGGCCATGCTTCTGACTCCACATGCTAGCTAGAACCTTGGTCAGGAAATAGGCTGCAGTGCAGAGCCAAAGGTACCCACGTGGCCTGGGTCTAGAGCTCAGTATTTGTGGAGTCTTGGGGTTGGGGGGATATAACAAGGAGCAAAGTTTCAAATGATCTACTCTATACTCCTAGCCTCAGCTTCTGTCCTGATTACCCCATTCCATCACCTGTCTCCTTGTCAGATGACACAGGCTCCATTTATCACCCAGAGTGGCCCTGATCACAAAGCTAAACTTCCCTGTTCACCAAGGAGGGGACCATCCCTGGGCTGCTGTGCAGCACATGGACCCTGAGCACTGGGCCACCTAGAGACCACTGTTGCTGCTAAGAGTGGTGGTGATTTTTGCTGTTTTTTGCCAGTAGGCTTTGGAAGTAGGTCAGATACCAGTTATTCCCTACCTGTGCCTAAAACTGCCTCCTCAAATTATCTCCCACAGAAGGGTAGTTCTACTTCAGACTCCAGCTTCTGTCATGCTGCCTTTTAGAGGTCTAGAGGCAAAGCTGCATTTCCTTAAAGGATTCCTTGCCTTTTGGGACTGGGAGCTCAAAGAGTTCGCTTTGAGATTGTGAATTTTTCCCATTATAAAAAGAGTATGGGGGTCAGGAGTGGTGGCGCATGCCTTTAATCCCAGCACTTGGGAGGCAGAAGCAGGCAGATCTCTGTGAGTTCAAGGCCAGCCTGGTCTACATAGTGAGTTCCAGGACACCTGGGGCTACAGGGAGACCCTGTTTCAAAAAAAAAAAAAAAAAAAAAAAAGAATATGGCAGAAATAAAGACCCAAAGCCCAACTTTGTCTCTCTTCCTCCACATTGAGATTTGGCGATTTGGCCCAGGAGCTGTGGGTACTCGGCCTCACTAGGCGGTTTTCTTGTGCCTGGTTTTCCCCAGGTTCTTCACTGCCTCTATCACCTCAGACACCCCTGTGAGAACTGTGGGGATTCAGATCTTTAGTCAGAGCACAGTGGTTTGGCTAATGCTTGGCCTCCTTTGGTCTAGGGAATTCCTAGGGAAGTTGGAACCTGAACATCAGCACTGAGACTGATCCACGAAGGAGCATGAAGACCCATCCTCTTCCCCTTCTCCCCTGGCCAGGAGCCTGGCACCCAGGAGCCAGGGTGCCCACCACCTATGGTGCTCAGGAGCCCAGTATGTACCTGGAAAGAGGACTCAGACACAGTGGGCAGAGGCTCTGCAGATGTGGATCTGCGAGGAAAACACAGGTGGCAGGCATGTTGGTCCCCGGTCCCTCTGGTGGCCACTTTCGCTGAGTTCTTGTCGGGAAGACTTCCTGACAACAGGTGGATCCTGTATTTCCTGCACTGGGAGTGGGGAATCTTAGAAGGGCCCAGGAGCACAGGATCACCTGGTAGGGAACTTTGTGCCCTTTCTGGCACATACAGAATGGACTCCAAGCCGTTGGATTTGCCCCCTTTGGCCTGTGTACCTGCTTGCCTTCCTCAGCTGTCCCTGCCTCCCTGGCATCTGCTTACCCATAGCAAGGGGCACCTAGAGCTGCACTTCCTCCCATTCTGCCCAGCTGTCACCTAACCTGGTCAAAGACTGAGCATTTATTTAAGAATAAAATTGTGGTGGTGGTCTGCTTGTTGCTTTCGCTACAGAGCAGGTCACTGTTGCCTCTTCTGCTGTCAGGCCAGTTGCCTTTTTCCCTCACAGTTCTGGTCCTGACCATTGCCACAGACTAGATCTCCACAGAAAGTACAAGGGCTGCTCCTAACTTACAAGCACCAGGGTCTGCTCTGGTTGGAGGCAGCTTGTCCAGATCTGAAAGGTGGCCTTTTTCTAAGATGCAGGCCTGGACGTGAGACTATACCACCACACTGCATGAGCATTGGGTTTCGTTGCCCCAACACTGCCACTGTTCCTCCAGAGGACATCAGCTGCATGATCAGGACTTGGAAACGTGCCAGACACATTCATCAGGTGTCTCAAGCTAATAGTGTGTTGCTTGACTTCTTGTCAAACCAGTGCTCTCTCCCTGAAGGTATGCACATTACAGACCCCAACGGAGTTGAGAAGGGTCAGAGCACATGGCTTAGTGAGAACTGGCATGAGAAGCAGCCCACAGGGGCTGCTGTCCTGTCCCTGCAGTCGGAGTACATGTATCTGCACTTCCTGCATTCTGTAGATGGGAGGGTGTACATCCATCGAGAACTTGGCTTCTCTTGATGGTGGCCTTTCTCCCCCTGTGAGCTGCAGAACTTCTCTTTGCAAGGTACCAGGGCTGGGAAGTCTTGGCCAGCTGCCTGTCCGTTCCTCCAAGATCAGAAGTTCCATCACTAACAGCAATAAACTAGCTGGAGGACCCATTCTAAAGCACTTTAGAGCACCCCAAATGATTCTCAGACATGGGAAACAAACCTTTCTACACCAGGCTATGAACTAGGATGGAACCTACTGAGGTCAACCTGTGACAAGAGCACTGACCTCCTTCACCTCTAACTAGGGAGTATTAGTCTTGGGCTACCCATCAGCAGTCCCAGAGCATTGGCTTCAACTGGGCCTGGCCACCAGGCAGCCACAGCTGCCTCTTAGCTTCGTGTAACTTAGTCTGTGCCAGCAGCCCAAGTCACTGAACGTAGTTGTGCATACCTCTTATGAGGCAGTGCGTCTGAAGTACAGAGCCAGGTTGAGTCTTCCATCAGTCATGCATGAGGCTCTCGGCATGTGAGCAACACCAGGGCCAGTCTTAATCATGGAATTCTCTTTTGGTCTATGCAAGCAATCTTGGATCCTTAGGGAGTAGGGAATGTGATGGGATATAAGGCTGTTGGTGATTTTTATAAGTGTCCCATGGGCAGACAATTGAAGATGGAGCCCTAAACTGTCACATGTCAGTTAACTTATACCAGGATACCCACACTTGGTACAACCAAGCTTAAACTGGGTTTTAGACCCTTTGACAGGCTACTAGATCAAACTGTACCCAGGATTAGGCCGTGGGGAAGAAAAAAAAAAACCAGCCCTGTGATGATAGGGAGTGTTCTGAGTAAACACTGCGTTATCACCATGGTAGTTATGTGTCCTAGGAGCCCTAGCACATCCCTATCATCCCACAGTTCCCAAGTCCTTTGGGCTATCACTAAGGCCCCACCCAAGGGATGAAAGCTACCTTTCTTTGATCCTGTGCAACAGACTATACTTAAGAACAGGCTTGCTTACAGAGGGCCCATTGTAGCCCATCCCCATGTGTTGCCCACCCCAGGCTTGCATCCTCCTGCATGCCATCACTGTATGTTTTTACAGAAACACAGATACCATATTGGCCAACCATGGGTATAGAAGTTTAATCAGCTTCTCACACAGGCAGTAACAGCAAGTGGTATGGCAGTGGTCACATATTACAGCTTCAGGGACTGCAGCTTCATGCACAGGACCACACGGCAGCAGATGGCGAACCCTACAGCCTGCCCACCCCACAAACTACCACAGTGGCTCTGGTGAATGGAGTACTGAAAGCAGATCCCTGGTAGACACTGCAGAAAGAGGGAGCTCCCATCCCCTCCCTCCTACCCAGGTACAGTAATGCAAGACAGTAGAAACCTCTGGAACGCAGTTTCTTTGACACCACACTCTCCTTTGGGCAGCACTTAAGTAGGTTCTGCCATGAAGTCTCAGCCTCAGGGAGGCACACTGAGGGGCTGGGGGCTCACCCTCTTCCTCATCAGGCTGCTACAGCAAAGTGGAAACTGGACTCCTCTGGCCCAGGGGCCCTTTTTCCGGATCAGACTGGTGGAAAGAGGCAGAATGGTGCCTGGCTTTGTGTAGAGGACATGGACAGAAGTGTTAGGAGGGCTCAGATCCACTGCCTAAGGCCCCAGTGCAGGACAGTGGCTGACTCACCTCCAGCCAGGCAGATACATCCCTAGCATAGCTGACTGTAGGTACAAACTGACCTAGAACATTGTTTGCTTGCTAAAAAAGGCTTAAGCTAGTTTCCAATTCCTCATGAAGTTATTTTCCCTTCTGAAAAAGCAAAACTAAGCTAACCCTCTATCAAATAACCTTGTCCTTAACTGAAGTCTTAGATTTTGTGCACAAGTCCCTCTCCAATGCTCCTCCCTAGTGGTCCTGGGTCCCAACACCCACATGGCTCCTGGGATGGCTACATAGGCAAGGCCTATCTGGTTCTTGACCCATACAGCTAGTACAGAGCCCAGGATAGAGAGCTCTGAGGAAAAAGCCTGATTCTTCTGAGCAGGACCAAGGAGGCCACACTGGGCTTGGCCTTGCTCTACATATGGTGACCCAGGTGCTAGTGAAACATATAGGAACCTGGGCTTCACCACAGATCCCTACTAAGACCTCAAATCTAAAGGCTCGAAACTAGATTAAGCTCACAGACTTGTGCATTGTTTTGGAGGCCCAGCTCCACCCCTCCCCACCTCTGTGGGACTGGTAGGCTGAAGCTGTGACTGGTGATGACCGTCTATGAACTCTGCCTTCTTTTTCAAGAAATCAGGATGTCACACACTCCTAAGCTGCTTCCTTGTCTAGATCCATTCCCAATGCCCCTCTTGGAAGCACAGCACTGACAAAAGCATGGACCAGCAGCCATGGTGGCACATGCCTTTAATCCCTCCACTTGGGAGGCAGAGGTGGGCAGATCTCTGTGAAATCAAGGCTAGCCCTGGTTCCATAGTGGGTTACAGGCCACAACTTGTGGCTACAAGGAGACCCTGTCTCAAAAAGGCCAAAAAAAAATTTTTTTTAAAAAAAGAAAAAAAAAAAAGACTAGCATGGGCACAGAGTCAGCCAACAAGCCACTGGCCTCACTATATAGGGCAACTAGTCTCTGGGGATGTTGGGGGGTGGAATCTGCAGGTCAGAGGGCTCCACACCCCAGATGTCTCGTGCATACTCAGTGATGGTCCGGTCACTGGAGAACTTGCCAGAGCCAGCAATGTTCCGAATCACCTTCTTGGTCCACTCCTTGGGGTTCTGTGGGGGAAAGAAGAGACTGATTATGATTAGCCTTTGCCAGAGCTAAGGGTTCCTGAGAGCCTGAGCTTTCAGAACATAAGGATTGGTGCCAGATGAGCTCTGAGCCTTGGGGCAGCCTGGTGGAAGAAGAGATTGCAACAGATTACTCAGATAAAAAGGAATCCTCACCAACCACAAGAGTGATTCTAAATGTAAGGGTCAAGGAGCCTCAGACACAGTCAATGTCCTGCCCTCAAAAAGCTCTAGGGCACAGCCTACAACACTACAGCAGGAGCACAACCAGGCAAGTGACTGCCACTTGCTCACAAAAGGCCAAGCATTCTCCTGCAGACTTTAAGCCCCATGACATCTTCCTCCAGAGCTTTGCAACTGTCCCCAGACCGCTGGTGGCAACAGAGGGGTCTCATGGGAGGGACCTGACTCCTGGGCCCAGCCCCACCGGATGCTGTTTTCCAAGCCCCCCGTTCCTGTTCTCAGCTATCAGGAGCTATTCTCCTAAGACAGGACATGATAAGGTTATTGACCTAGAGGCTGACCAGGCCTACTGGTGACAGATCAGAAACCCACATCCCTCTGTTCTCAGTCATCGGATAGGAAATGCTATAACTCAGAAAGTCCACACAGACCCATCCAGCCACTCCCCATCAGTCTTGGGGGTCCATAAGCCTTACCCGATACAGCTGGTCTACCTGGGCCTGGCACTGCATGTAGGCTTCATAGTCTGCAAATACCTTGAACCTGAAACAGTGGGTAGGAGGCTGAGTGAAGGCGGCAGGTGGCAGCAGGCAAGGAGCCCTGCCTTGAGCAGCCAGAGAACAATTCAGTTCAGGATTGGCCTTGGCCATACTCCTATCTTCCCAGCTCTGCTGGGGCCAAGATGGGAAACTTCTCTGTGAGTGATGCTTATGTTGTTATGGGGAAGACGGTTTAGGAAATGGTCATTTCCAAAGCAATTTACAGATGAAGGACAGTTAGAGCTACATATGCCCAGAGGCAACTGCAGACCCAAAGCAGCGAGCCCATTTCATCTGCACAACCAAGGGGCTCTGGATGACCCCATTAGCATCTCTTCCCAAGTGGGAAAACTGGTGACACAGAGGAAGGTTATCTGCAGTTCCAGAAACGGTACTACGGAAGTGCAATTTATTCTACTACTGAATCAGAAACATAATTCACTAAAAGTCCCTCCATCATCATAGGCTTCAACAGGGTCCCACTCCATGCCAGGCACATACATGGGTGGAGCCATGATCTGGTCTGTCTGAAGCCAGTGGGTGGCACAGTCTTCAAAGAACAAAGACAAAATTAACCCAGAGGCAACTGAAAGTGGAGGAGAGGTTAATGCTCAGTGTTCAGCATATTCAACTTTGACAGGCATCTATGTCTCTGCAGACTTGTCATATAACTAGGTCAGTTATAACCTATGTGTTGATGATACCGCAATAAAATAATGACTACATTGTAAGTCTGCCCTGTGGCAAGCTAATTCCTTTGTTTGAGACAAGGTCTCACTATGTAGTCCTGGCTGGCCTGGATTCGATATGTAGACCAGACTGCCTTGAAATCACCTGTTTTTGCCTCCCCAGTAGAGATTAAAGGTGTGCACCACCATGCCCAGCAGCTAATGCCACTCTAACCATGTCATGTCTTTGTGAGCTGACACGTCACAGATTCATACCCACCCACCACCACTCTGCCAATTCTAGCCTTTCTTGCCTGAGAACTCTCTACTGGTTAACAACAACCTAAGACATGATCTTTCCCCTGCTCCCATAGCTATCCCTGAAGTTTGGGGTCTGGGTGGTGCTGCTGGCCTTCTCCCACTGTCCAGGGCTCTCAAAGCATCACCAAAGGTCACTGAAGATCTATCTCTGCCCTTATTGACTGTGACTCAGGCTGGGATAAGGTCTCCTGGGCCGAGGTAGAGAGAAGACATCATGAAAGCACAGGTCTCACCCTCCTCTCTACATGGAGTTTTCAGCCCGCAGGAGAAGCGAACTGTCCCAACAATAAGGACTGAGCAGCCAACTGGGAAGGCAAAGCAAGAGGGGGGTTTGTCCCACCTGTCATGGTACATCAGCATATTAACCACATCCTTGAAGCAGTCTGGGTCTTTGGGAGAAAAGAAGCCACTGTTGATCTGGTCCATAGCCTGCTTCAGCTCAGGCATACGCTCGTAGAACTCTCTGGCATTGTACCTGGGGGAGATAAGTTTATTTAGCATCTGGCACCCCCCAGGCAAGCAGCCACCCTATAGCCTCCTCCCCAGAGCTGCCACACACCAACAACCAAGGAGGTGACACACACCCTTTCTGGTCTAGAGCCTCAACGTCCTCCACTCGCATGCCGAAGATGAAGAGGTTCTCCACCCCCGCTTCCTCCGCCATCTCCACATTGGCGCCATCCATGGTGCCGATGGTGAGTGCCCCATTGAGCATGAACTTCATGTTGCCAGTGCCTGAGGCTTCAGTGCCCGCAGTGGAGATCTGCTGTGACAGGTCAGCAGCTGGGATCACTATAGGAGGAGGGAAGCAGTTCAGCCTGAGGCCCTGTTTAATTTATCCATACCATACCCTCTCCCTTCAGCCCAGGAGGCAGCTTATCACCATGGAGGGTGATCCCAGGACAGGGACCACCATCCTGACCCATGGAGACTGAGGTCAAATGGCTATAACGGCTATCTCCTTCCTGATGCCAAGGTAGTGCTCCTCCTCTAGACCAGGTAAGCTTAGGCAGAGGGTCTAAGATGGAGATCCTCGAGTATCAGCACGGTGGCACAGGATTTCTGTTCTTGGATTTTCCAGGAACTAGGCCAGTCAAATCCAGTTGGGGGATCTAGGTCCTGGCTCACTGGCAATGTGGATCCTTCCTCCCCTTGACACCGTATCTTATTCAATTATCCTACATGTGATCAGCCCAAGAACAACTTAAACCCTTCAGAACCAGGAGACTGGGAAGGCTGAGTACAAACGGGTTCATGGCATGGGAGCAAATAATGCATGTCCACGGGGGCACAAGCAGACAGCAGGTTCAACCCCCCTCACTTGGGCTCCTTGTGCTTACGAGGGAGCAGGCTGGAAGTGGCATGTTCCTGAGGAAGGGCTATTGCCCAGGTCATGCCCTGGCTCATCATCTCGTCTCAGCATCTGCAGCTAATGCCAGAGCTGCTGATGCTACCTCCCCAGCCCCGGTAGCAACCCCTCAATTCAGCCAGCAACCGAGCCTAGCCCCTCCTCTGAGGGAGGAAAGCCTAGTCAGAATGAAGAGACCTAAAGACATCCACAGCCTCAGGACTCACAGTCCAGCTGACAGAAGCTGTGTGATACCTGGCCAGAGAGAAAATGAAGGGCAAACCCTGCCTGAGGCCCAGACTGGTACCCTGTGGGCAGTTCTACAGACTAACAGGAGCCACACCCCAAATTAAAGGTGAGAAGAGTTCCAGGCAGCAGAAAGGACGTAAGATGCTTTGGCAAAAAGTTCCAAAGTTCCCAGCCAACACCTGGACAAAGCCCAGTTCCTAAACCCACCCAGGGACCAAGCACACCAAGTGCATCCAACAGAGGTAGGAGCAACACTGGGCACAACAGCTGCCACTGGACCACAGGGAAGTGAGCAAGCAAGCGTGCAGAGCTTACTACCACAGCCTGGTAAGCAGCACTATGCAGCCTGACCTCAGTGACAGGAAGGAAACAGGGAAGCCCAGGCTCAGACTCCCTACCATCTGTCTAGCTAAGGAAATATGTTTCCCACCAAGAAAAGTCCAATTTAGGTCAATCTGAACGCTCACCTCCTGGGGGAGGTCCCCATGACCAACCCAAGTAGAAAAGTCCTAAACCAAACTGCACACCAGGTAGGAGCTGCCCTCAGAAAGGAATGACAGCGGTGCTGGCATGTGACCGGTGAGCAGAGCATGGGGAAGGAAGAGGCAGTGAGAGCAGAGCGGAGGGACAGCAGGAGGGGGGTGGGGGGAGAGGGGAGAAGCAGTAAGAAGAGGGGAGGTGGGCAGGGAGGGAGGAGGGGCAGGAGTGGGAGTTCAGGAGAGTCACATCCTGTTGAGACCTAAGAGTAGTAGGCACAGTGGAGGCAGAGAGGAAGGAGGGGAAGAACAAGACCCAGGCAGGTCTGCAGATCAAGGATGACAACAATTCTGCCTGTGAGGAGCAAAGGTTCTTCTCAGGCACACTCAGAATGCACAGTGTTCCCAAGGCTTTCACTGCCAGGCTGCAGCCTGACCCTGGAAGGCACAGGGCAGAGCAAAGCTGACCAGTGTGAGGACAGCCCTGGCCAGAGTTGCCAACCCCCACCAGCCCCAGGCAGAAAGTGGTCTGGGCATCCAGGGCTACCTTTTTCAGCTAAGGATACGCGGTAGTTCTCCAGGAAGACCACTTTGAGTCTGTCACCCACAACTGGATCATGATTAACAACATCTCCGATGGATGTGACCAGCTTGATGATCATCTTGGCCATGTGGTAACCAGGAGCTGCCTGGAAAAGGAGAGGTGAGGGTTAAGGATTTTAGTTTAAACCCCCTGCTCAGGTTCCAAGAAGGGACCATGGAATATCTGCTAACAATACGGGTCCCTGGGCTGTAACACAGGGTCCTATGAGCCATGGAGGCCTGGCACTGTACTGGTCAGTAGACTGTAGACCAGGGAGGTCACACCTGCAGTGCTAGTGCTGGAGGAAGGACCTAGCTCTGCTGTTGAAATAAGTCAAGAGTGCCTGGAATGTAGAGCATGGCCACCAGGCTGGATACCTCCTAGTGAGGGTGGCAGGAAGCTGGTCTGTTCCATTCTAGGGACACTGTCTCTTACCCAACAACCCCCAAGCAAAACCATTAAGCCTCTAATCCTTTAATCCTAACCGGGTGGGTCCCTTGTAGATTATGGAGGACAGGACAAAGACCCTGTAGCCTTAGTAGCTCCCTCCCTCCCCCTACCTGCCAGCCTGCCGGAAAACCCAACCCCTACCTCTTTGTCTGCAAAGCTTTCCCATATAAACCTCTGCTTCCGCCATAATAAACGAGCTGTCCACTGACACAGCCTCCTGGGTGTTTTTTTCCTCATTGTACTCACCGCTGCCTGAGGCCCCCCTCCCCCCACCGGTCTCTCTCATTGCCGTGACCTTCTGCTATGGGGACAGGTGCACAAGGTCTCCTGGCGGCAATGAGGTTCAGTCCGAGGGGAGGTGGACATTCTGCCTGCTTATCTTGGCTCCTACCAAGTACTCCTCATGAGGTCGCCTAATTCGTAGGATTTGACAGCCTTGAATTTGATTTTTCTGATTCCAGTCAGTGTTTTAGCAATTACAAGATAAAAGAAACAAAGACTTATAGAACTTAATATACAGGAAATAGAGAAAACTAAGGAATATACAGGAATATAACCAAGGGATACATCCAGAAAAGGCCAGCCTAAGAACAATCCAGTTTCTGTAACAAATATATTGGAAAAAAATTTTAATGACAAAAGACATAGGAGAAACCTACTGACTAAGAGAATTTAGAGATACATCGACCAATCTCTATGCAAGGGCCTACCTAAGGGTCCTGACTCAGTTAAAAATATCTGTAGGGCTGAGTATGTGGCTCAGTTGGTAGAATGCCTGTCTAACGTGCAAAGCCCTGGGTTACATCCATAACACAGAAAAAAAAAAAATGTAACTTTTAAGTGGGCATGGTAGCATAACCCTCTAGTCTGAGCTACTCCAGAGCTGAAGTTGAAGGTTTTGAAGACAGTTTGGGGAACATAATGAGAAACCACCCCCAACTCAAGAGAAACACTTAAAACTTTAGTAAGGCAAGTGGGTAGTGGTACCTGAGTGGGTGGGTTTTCACTGGTATAGAAGAATCTTTGCCTTGTATGATGGATGTGTCTATCACAGTGTTATTGAGAATCTAAAGTATTTCATGGTTTTAGAAAAAAGTTTTTGTGAAGATGAACAGTGCAGTATTAAAGCACCATAATTCTGGAATCTACTCTGAAAAGGTCCAACAGGACAATTTTCAATCTGTCCTACTTTTCTCTAGGTTTAAAATTTCTCATAGTAACAATCTAAAAAAAATTTTTTAAAGTACATATTGCTGGGGGCTGGAGAGATGGCTCAGTAGTTAAGAGCACTGGCTGCTCTCAAAGAAGACCTGGGTTCAATCCCTTGCATCCACACGGTAGTTAAAAACTGCCTACAACTACAGATTCAGAGGATCCAACACCCTCTTCTTGCTTTCATGGGAGTTGCATGACACAGGTACACTTACATACATGCAAGCGTAACACTCATACACATAAAATAAAAAAATAAAAATACATAAATTTTAAAGTCTATATTGCTTTGGACTTTATATACTAAAATACTAATAAAATAATATGAAGTTCAAATTTTGCTTCCAAAATACTAGGTAATGGAGGCTGACAGAGACCGAATAAGGGAGGCAAGTGGGCACTGTGCCTGAGGAGGTACTCCTCCCTGCAACCTCCTCTGCAGGCCCTAAAGTCAGAGGAAAGGATAGGCTCGAAGCCTAGGACAGATGCCTGTGTCTGCCTCGCTCCAGCCATGCTACCTGCAGGAATGCCATCTGCAGATGGCCCTGGGAGGCTGTCCCAGAGCAGCCCCTCAAAAAGAAGTTGGACGCCCACGAGCTCATACCCTCTGACACAGACCAGAGCACCAGTTGAGTACAAGGGACAAGCATGCCTAGTATGCAACAGTATGTGGCACAGGCTGGGAATTCCTCAACTTCTATGAGCCAGGCAGCATCCACTTCCTTCATGTTCTATTAACTGTATGAAAGGCTCCCTCGCCCCTTTTCCCTAAGGGCCAGGTAGTGCTGGCATGTGTGTACTGGCACTTGCTTTCTGAGTAGGCAGGATACCCAAGGACAAGTCAGGGAGCATGTACATCCTAGGCCCAGCATCAACAAAAGGAGGGAAGAAGAAGTCACATCACCTTGCCCCCAATCATAACAGTCCTGGGCACAAAGGTCTTGGCCGGATCCTTCTTTATTCCTGGAGGAAAAACAGAAGAGGCAACTTTAAACCAGACTATCCCTTCCTGGATCGACATGGTAACCCAGCAACAGGCAGACTCAGCAAGCTGTGCACTTTGGCCTGAGAGACACAGGTAGGTGGTGGCAGCACAGTCATGGCCACAATACCTCTGCAGGAACCTGGCACCCTGAGGAACAAGGCCTCCCCTGGGCCTGCACTTGCACCCCTGGCTGGTGGAAAAACCCAGCCAAGACCACTGATGACAAACCATGCAGTATCCTGAGCTGAAATTCTTCCTATAGGCTTTGGAAAAACCACCCACACAGTTCTAAAATTGCCATCCAGGAGCTGTTTGCCTGTGGTCACGGGAGTCAAGGCCCTGATATGTGAGGAGCGCCGCGTTTTGTTGTTGTTGTTGTTTGGGGGTTGGGAGGCTTTTTTGTTTCGCTTTTTGAGACAGGCTTTCCCTATAGTCCCAGCTGACCTAGAACAGATCAGATAGACCAGGGTGGCCTTGAGCTCATAGAGATCCTCCTACCTCTACCTTCTGAGTGCTGGGATTAAAGAAAGGTGTGTTGCCACCACACCTGGCAGAGCTCTGTTTTAAAAACATGTTTTAATTTTTTAACTTTTATTTATTATTATTATTGTGTGTATGTGATGAATGTGAGTGTGGGTGCATGTATGCTGAGGTGTGTTCTTGCCTTCCACCATGGGACCTGGGGATCGAGCTCAGAAATGCTGAGCCATCTTGCTGAGCCTTAAAACATGTCCAAATATACTGTTTTGATGACACCGAGAAAGAAAGAGTAAACCTCACTATTGCGGTCTGGCACCATCACCCCTTAGAGGGTGAAAAGTGAAACTTTCTACTACCTGTGTATGGCATGAATTTGCTATTATTTGGAAATGTCTCCCAAAAGTGTAGGCTTGGCCACCAGCAGGTGTTGCCATGAGGGGATGGTAAAGCCTAGTGGGAGGAAGTTAGATGATAAGAGGCATGCCCTTGAAGGGGATATTGGGAGAGTTTTCTTCCTATCTCTCTGTTTGCTTCCTGGCTGTCATGAAGCAAGCAGGCCTCTTTCATGCATTCCCACTGTGAAATTCTGTGCCACATGGAGAACAACTGGGCCAAGTGATCATAGCCTCAAACCTTTGAAACTATGTGCCAAACAAACCTTTCTTCCTCCTAAAAATTGATTCCCTCAGGTATTCTGTCACAGAGATGGAGAGCTGAGAAGACCCCTCCTGCAATTTTCATGCATAGACTTGAACCACAATGGCCAGCTCATGGCCATCCATCCATATTTCAGTTTGGGGCAATAGTGTCCACAAAAGGGACAGCAGGCAGCCCTGAACAGCCATTCAGCAGCCAGGGCTAAGGAGTTGAGGTTATCTTTGACTTGTGGCTTCAGGTTCTATGGGAAATGGCTATCTTATTTCTGAACTTTCTACTTCTGGAAATCAGGCAGAATAACAGGAAGAAAAGTAAAAACTAAAAACATAACGGAGGCTTGGCGTGGTAGCATACTCCTGTAGGCCAACTATTTCAAAGATGAGACAGGAAGATTTTTTTTTTAGCTCAGAAGTTAAGGCTGAGTCTGGGCAACAACACAGCGAGAAATGACATCTTTACTAAAACTACAGGTGGAAGGCAGGCAAACCCAGATCACTCAGCAGCTCCTACCAGAGATAAGGGATGGTGGCAGATCACAGAGTCTCAGGAATCCAATGGGCACATGCTCAGAATGATCAGACCTCAGCTGGACTTCTCACAAGAAGACTACTGGAAGGTGGGCCTAGAATCCCTGGGAGGCACCAAACAAGGTGATACTCAGAAAAAACAGGTATGGGATCACAAGGAGGGTCCATGTGCTGAGGAAGTATTGCTCTGACCCAGAAGATGCAGGCCTGGGAGCTGCCCTGGCAGAGGATCCTCTTAGTCCTGGGCCTACAACTCACCCCAAAACAAACAGCAAGGTCGATTCACAATGGCTTCACTGCAAACTACCAATGGAGGAACCCACCTCCTGTGTGAAGCACAAACCTTTGACTGTCTTCACCTTAGAAAGATACAGTCAAATGCAAGACCTTGGGGAGAGGGGCCATGCAGACAGGAGCTGGTATAGCACAGGAAGCAAGCATGGTAGGAAGAGGAGACAGGAAAACCCACACCTTAGAACAGGACAGGGAGGCTGAGAAAGTTCTGAAAGAAGCCAACCACAAGAAATGGGTAAGATGACCTGCACTACCTGCCTGAAGTCCAGAAAACTGAAAGAACTGGACCAAACAAATGTCCTTAATTTATTCCAAGACAACTTGGAATGATACAGGTGCTCCCTGAGCACCAGGGAGAAGCGCCCACAGGGTCAACACCAAGATACAACAGAGAAAAGGCCACTTATGAAATCAAGAAAACCAGAGAGTGGCAACCATCTACAGGACAATTCCTACCCGAGAGATGGCGGACAGGGGCCAAAAGGTGCTTGAGGAAGAGGTGCAGCCAAGGTGATATGGCCAGTTCCACACCCTTCACGATGGAAGACTGCTTGGATTACAAGGACCCAGGAGAAATTGCTCCCACCAGCCCTTGTGCTCCAGTGATAAATGTGGCCAACAGAGCTGGCAGGACTGTGCTGAAGTAATGAGTGTATCAGCAAACTGAGAAAATGAAGTCAGGTCCAGACGCTGCCTCAATGGGGCAGCGTTAAGAGGGGCTGCATGCTCTTATGATGGAGGAGGGAGACAAGAATACACATGCATGTGAACATTCCCACGTGCCAGCACAGAGGCATGCACATAGGTGCACACATGGAGCTACAGGGAAGATGAATGGGAATAGCACGAGCCTGTCAGCTGCCTCATCTGAACAGTTGGGAATCACAGGGCATCATTCAAACTAACAACCAAGCAGAAGCAGAAGCCAATGAAAAGCACAAAACCAAATGCTAAAAAGGTTGTGAGTGACTGTGGATGGCGGCCAAGCAGGAGGCAGGACAGGGTGGTCAGCAACCCTGTTCACACAGCACAATGCAGGGGGCTCAGGGACACCACAGGGGCAATGCAAGACATCAGAACAGCATAAGAAAAAAAAAAATGCAAAGGAAACAAGAGACCAGGGTTCCTATGAACGACTGTGTGGCTCGGAAGTAATGGGCCTCACGGGGTACCTCCCTGGGCCACCACATGGGGTGGACCCTCAGGAGCATGGCTTCCAACATCTGTCCTACTGTGCATGTGACTCTCAAGGGCCCAGAAGATTCTGCCAGCTGGTGGAGGCAGGTTTACTGGGAACAGAAGACCTGGTGTTCTTGACAGTTCTATATCTTTGAGAGACATTTATTTTTTATTTATTTATTTTTTTTGGTCTTTTTGAGACAGGGTTTCCCTGTAGCCCCAGCTGTCCTGGAACTCACTATGTAGACTAGGCTGGCCTTGAACTCACAGAGATCCGCCTGCCACCACGCCTGGCATGAGACATTTACTTTTAAGGGACTTTTGATTCATGTTTGCTTTCATAATTAGTGCTCAGAAGTAATTTATACTGCATTTATTATCCTTTTAAAAAAATGGCTTATGGGGCTGGAGAGATGGCTCAGTGATTAAGAGCACTGGCTGCTCTTGCAGAGGACCCAGGTTCGATTCCTAGCACCCACATGGTGGCTAGCAACTGTCCTAACTCCAGTTCCAAGGGGCCCACACCCTCTTCTGACCTCTGCTGGCATTGCATGACACAGGTGCACTTATGTACATGCAAGCAATACAGTCATACATATTAAATAATTTTTAAAAAATATTTTTTAAAAATTGGTTTGTCATATTTTAGTGCATGTACGTGTGTGAGTGTGTGTGTGTGTGTGTGTGTGTGTGTGTGTGTGTGTGTGTATGTACCATGGTGCACATGTGGAGGTCAGAGGACAATTTTTAGGAGTCAGTTCTCTTTCCATGTGGTTTCCAGGGATCAAACGCAGGTTGTCAGGCTTGGCGGTAAGCACCTTTACCTGCTGGGCCATCTCACCAACTTTTACTTTTCCCTTGGAACAGGTTTCACTGTATGCAGTGCTGGGGTTACAGGCCTGCAGCACCACACCTCGCTTGCTATTCTTTTTCTTTACGTACACATAAAATACCTCTAATAAACACAATCTTTCCAAATCAGGCAAAATTCATTACAGAAATAATAAGTTTAAGGGGGCTGGAGAGATGGTTCAGCTTAAGGTTAAGAACACTGGCTGTTCTTGCAGAAGACCTGGGTTTGAATCCCAGCACCCACAAGGCAGCTAACAACTGTCCCTAACTCCAGTTCCAGGGGATCCAACAGCCTCTTCTGACCTCTGCGGGCATTGCACGACACGGGTGCACTTACCTACGTGCAGGTACTACACGCACACACATAAATAAAAAAATCATAAAAATTTTAAAGAAAGAAATAATAAGCTTAAAACAAAGCTAAAATGAACATAGGACCTTCCCCTGGAACACAACAAAGTCCCAACTGCACTAAGGCTCGACAGACTACTCCTGGCCTGCACAGTGGTCTCACAACTCCATGGGCCTTTCTGAGTGCTTCAGGGCTTGCCTGTTCACAAACCTCAGGCTCTGGTACCAAGCACTCGGAAACCCAGCCACTGCTCAAACATCACATACACCCAAAGATGTAAGAGAGAGGTTGGGGGGGGGGCGTGTCAGAGGATCAGCTAGCCAGCAGGAATGAGCCCTGGGCCAGCTGTGGCTCTCAAGGGAGGGAAGGCAGGCAGGAGGACCATGGGCTCAGGGGCTCGTGTGTGCTCACGGTTGTACAGGGTGATAATATGAAGGCAGTTGAGCAGCTGCCGCTTGTACTCATGGATCCTCTTCACATGCACGTCAAACATGGACGCAGGGTTGATCTTCACCTTGTATTCCTTCTCCAGCAGGGCAGAGAACTTCAGCTTGTTTTCCTGAGAAAGAGAGGACAGGTGACAGAGTCACGGGAGCTGCCTGCAAGCTATCCCAGACTCACCACAACTCTGACTTTCCACCCCGCCTAAGAACACCTGCGTCTCACTAGGAACCAGCATGGAAAAGGCTGAGGGCTCAGAGACCAGAGCTGGGAGCAGAGATGGCATTGGCAGATGGCATAGGAAAACATGAGTGACAATGACAATGGATGTGCTGGTCATACAGAAATAAACGAAAAATGAGAGCCAAGTGCAAACCTGGAACTGTGTGTATGGGGCGGGGGCATAATAAAGGGCACTGCCAGCATGACCTGCGGGCAGGGAACACAAGCAGGGTGCTGGGGGTGAGGCAGAGTGAGAAGTGGTCAAAAAGACTAAAATGGAGAACTGGGCCTTGGAAACACTGCCACAGGCACCCAAGACAGGCCTTCTTGGTGCCCCAGAAATGCTGAGACCAATGACCCTGACAGATGCTACCATGTAGGGACATTCTTAGGTTCCTCTGAGTTAGAGACTTCAGTGACCTGGCTAGGGTCTAACAGAGGCCACAACCTCAGTTCTCCCTGGTGGAAGTGGAACATCCTGCCAATGACTTCCAGAGGTTTCTCCATACTTGCCGCAATGGAGGTGCAGGGTGAAGTCACAGCTTGCATGGGGGTAATACACTTACCCATCTGTCATGTGACCTGAACAAATGTTTCCCCATTTGGAGACCTGAGGGCCAAGAGGCCTACCTGCTTGACCTTGGCTACATCCCTGATGAAGGCCTCATCATCAACCAGTGGCAGCAGCTTCTTCAGTTGGCTCAGGTCAGTTAGGAAACTTTCCCCAATTCTCTAGAGAGTACACAAGAGGACATGTGGGCTCTGTTCACCAAGCCTCAGCCTTCAAAGGGCTGTCCTCCATCTGTTACCCCTCTTCCCTGGGACCTGCCTGCCTCTTTGGGCCCTCATGCCATCCCCCTTCACACCCACAGTTACAGAGCCATGAGGACACAAACTCACAAGCCTCACCAGTCCCTACTTCCCATTATCACTGGCTGTCATAGTGATGCTTTGGATCAACAGAGGGCTTTCTCTCTCCTTCTACCACCATGAACAAAGAAGCCATCTTCTTCCTTCTCCACACAGCAGTAGCAGCAGTTTTCAGAGCATCTGATGAAGGGTCTTCCTGCTGTGTGCTTTCCACTGACTGATCTCCCCTGACTATCTACCACGTGGTCCTGCATGCACACTGCACTGGCCTTCCAGACCACTAGAGGGCACTGGCACTGCACCAGATCTGTGCCCAGAATGGCTGTTACAGGCTTCCCTGGCTTCTTAAGGGAGCCCTCCCTGACCACAGTTCCAAGTAGGCAGTCTTCCCACAGCAGCCTCGGAGAACAGTGCCCTTCAAGGGAGACCTTAGGCACATCCCTCAAGAGTAGCCCTGCAGTCCTGATTCCAGCATAGGACTCTGTATATGAAGGCCTGTGATTGGGGACATAAACCTCCACAGCTATGGCGTACCCAGCATGGTTAGTCCCCTCTCTTAGGCTAGTGGCTGCCACTTAGTTGCCCAAGATAGCTTGTGAGCTGGCACACGGCCAGAGTTGGACCAGTATGGTATACCAAGACCCATGTCCAGGGGTCACTTCTAGTCAACATGCAAGAAACATTCTTACCAGTTCAACAGCCACTCAGAGAAGGGCTTGGTGATCCTGCTCAGTGACTGCTAAAGCAGTGACCCATTGCTCCTGCAGACTCTGATCTGTTGTTCCACAGGATACAAGGCCAGGCCAGGTGCTCACCTCCACAATGATGTCCGCCAGCCCTGGGTTGCACAGCAATAGCCACCGCCGGGGTGTGATGCCATTTGTCTTATTCTGGAACTTCTCTGGCTCCAGTTCATAAAAATCCTTAAAGCTACAAGCACAGAAAGCAGAGAATTACCACAAGTACTGAATTTTCAACCAGGCAAGCAAGGGAATATGAGAGCTTTTCAGGAAACTTCTGAGAAGCCCTTAAGCTCAGCTAGCTGTTTCATTTTCTGAACCATGCAGAACAATTACCATCACTGAAAGCTATGGGACCAGCACAAAGCAGCACATGTCTACCACATGTGGCTGCGGGTCTGTGAGACTCTAATGTCCCAGGGGTTAGAACTTGACTGTTTTCCAGACAGATCTAGGGGAAACTGTCCAGGTGATGAGAGTGAAGACTGAGCAGGCTACAGACCTCAGGACTGCAGGCTCCGTTTCCATACCCATAGACTAGAAAAACACCCAACTTGGAAGTTTGGTGTGGGAATAAATATACAAGCTCTGGGCCAAGTCCCAGAATACAGGAGGCCTTCCACACTGGCTGACATAGCTGAAAGGCCCCCTCACCCTGGGTGCTGCTTGACTGGCAATCATAGTAGGTACTTATTCATCTGATGAGGGGAAGGGAGGGAGGGAGGGAGGGAGGGAAGGAGGGAGGGAGGAAGGAAGGAATTTCTTAATTGTGTTACATCTCTCACTTCTGATGGGACCTAGACATCCAACTCCAGGTGAGACATCCACAGCAGCCAGCAGCAGATGCACTAGTAGTTAAGACAGGCCAAGGAGGCAGGAAAAACAAGAAAGGATGACTAGTGGCAGCAGAGAAGTCTGTCCAATGTCACCACTAAGTCACCTGTGAACGTACTGGTGTGTGATGTGGTAGGGGCCTTGGGCTGCATTAGCATACCCACAAGTGAGTTAGTGGAGCTGTGTGACATACCTTGGTAATGTGTATGTAGTAGAATTTAGAACTGGGCTAGGGGTCAAGAAGAAGGTGCCTCAGCCTGGATGAGACCCTCACTCACACAGACTGCTTCACAATGTCTGAGTGGATCCTTGCTACACCATTCACAGCATGGGACCCAATCACACACAGGTGTGCCATGTTGATTCTCTTGCAGTCCCCTTCCTCGATCACAGACATCCTCCTCAAGCGGTCCACATCCCCAGGAAACAGAGCAGCCACGTGCTAAAGCCAAAAACACAGGGCAGAGAGACTAAATATCCCACAGTGACTGTTGGGGTCCCCAGAGCCAGGGGATAGCCCACCATGCCTACTGGAGATTTCACTACTGTCAAACAAGTCCGAGGGCTGCTGCACCTAGCCCTGCACACCAGTACTCCCCATGCCAGGCCACTTAGCCCAGTGTCCTCAATCAACACTGCCTCAGATGCACTCACAGGAGCCCTGAATCACACACCTCACCCAGGGACGACTCTGTGCTGGGCCTGGGGCCTATATAGCTATTCTGTCTAAGGAGGTCAGGACACCAGACGGGTAGGGAAACCCCACCCAGTTTACAAGAGGAAGCTGGGCTTGAGCAACATTCAACTACATTCTCAGCTGCTCTTTCACCAAAAGGTTAAAGAAGGCATGAAAGGACTGAGATATGCGCAGTGCTAGAATGCTTACAACAGCACACATGAGGCCCTGGCTCATCCCCAGCACCACATGCACACAAAAGTGTAAGAGTTACCCCAAACCTGAGTTCCCTCTGGCCATGTACCACCATCCTCTCTGCAGATAACAAAGAAGAACAGACAGGTTCTGTACCCCCAGTGCAGGCCTGCTCAGAACAGACCTTTTTAAAAAGATCTACATTTAAGCTTCTCATATACATAGCAGATGTCAGGTACAGGGCAAACAGGAGTTCTGCCAGGCCACAGTCCTTAGCTCCCAAAGTAAAGCACTTCCTCTCCTACGTAGGATGAGAACCACTGTGGTGATGCCTGCCCCCCTCCGCACCCCCAGCACTGATGCTCACATCCAGGTGCCTCTGGTTGATGGCATAGATGATATCCAAGTGACGTGGCAATAGCTTCTCAAACATGGACACTGGCCAGCGCTCCAAGGCCTCAGGCAGCACGGTATGGTTGGTGTACGCACAGGTCTTCTTGGTGATCTCCCAGGCCTACATTTGAGAATAGCATGCTTGTTTAGATACAGATGTGTAGGGTGGCACACCCTGGACCTACCAGGGAAGAACCTCATTCCCATCCCTGCTCTCTGCTTTCCAGGTCTGGTCTCCCTTCTCAAAGCTTGTGGATCCGCCCAGGCTAGACACCACACTGACATGACCACTCAGCTCTGACATCCTACACATGTGAACACACACAAATGACCCTGCTTCCTGACTCCACTTCCTGACAATAACCTTTAAATTTCTTCTTCGTAAACCCTCTGCTGCTGGTGAACCAATAATGGAGCAGAGTTCTGTTGGTTTCTATCGAACGGACACCTACAATGCAGAGGACTCTTATGATCATGTGGCCTGCCCTAACTGCCAGGACAACAGGTGACCTGCCATAGGGAACACCCTCAAGGAGAGTGTGTACACCATCCCAGGCCAGAGCAGGACTCTGGTTTCTACAAATGAAACAAGAAACTGGCCTTGTGGTTTTCTGTTGATCTAGTTAAAGCTTGATCAAGAAAACCCTGCTATCCCAATGAATCAAGGACCAAAGAAAACTGAACCACTAAATCAAGTCTATAAATATGAACACTACAGACTTATTTGTGTGTACCCTAGGCTGGTTTTGAACTTGCTATCTTCCTGCCTCAACCTCCAGAGTGCTGTAATTATATGTGTGTGCCGCCATACCTGACTAGTATATTTCATAAAGCTTAACACTTCTAGTTTTTGGGTTTTTTTTTTTTTCCTTTTTGAATCAGGGTCTTCCTGTAGTCCCAGCTGTCCTGGAACTTACTATGTAGACCAGGCTGGCCTTGAACTCACAGAGATCCGCCTGCCTCTGCCTCCCAAGTGCTGGGATTAAAGGTGTGCGCCACCATGCCCAGCCAATTTATTTATTTTTATGTGTCTAAGTGTTATGCCTGCATGTGTGTAAGTACACCCATGTTATGCAATGTCTGCAGAGGACAGAAGAGGGCATCAGATCCCCTGGAACTGGAGCTACGGATGGTTGTTAGCTGCCATGTGGGTGTTGGGACTTGAACTCAGGTCTTCTACAAGAAGTGTTCTTAACTGCTGAGCCATCTCTCCAGTCCCACTTCTAGGTTTTTTCACCAAATTTCGAGAAAATACATTCAAGAATCCTGTCCCTGTCTCTCCTGTCCCCACTGTCTCCATCCCACAGGGCATTCACCTCCTAGGGCCAGAACCCTCCACAGTGCCCCAGTACTCTCAAGAGTGAATCCCCACATCTTCTGAGACTGGGGGAAAGGCCCCATTTCCCAGAACTAGTTCAGCCTGGTATCACTATGGCTGGCATAGCCTAAGGTCTACCAAGGACCTGATCTTCATCCAGGGAAGAGACCATCTTCCTTTCTTGCACTCACCTTGTCCCAGTCCACCTTCTCTACATCCACCAGGATCCGCATTAGCTCAGGAATGGATAGTGCTGGATGAGTGTCATTCAGCTGGATGGCCACCTGTAGGTCACAAGAGGTTCTGTTCAGGTGCCCCACTCCTGGCACCCAAAGTAGTCAGTGGGTATGAAGCCAAGGTATGAAGGAACCAGCCAAGCAGCCCACTTCTGAAGAACATAAAAATGCAGAGGGGCCTGAAGGAGGGGCCAGGAGGGTGCTGACTGCTCTATAGGCAGCCATGACCCACAGGCAGGTGTGACCTGTAACCAGCTATGATCTGTGTGCAGCCATGTTCTGAGCAGGTATAGAAGGGGCTGCAGGATATGTGGTCCCCTCAGGACACTATCCCCTCATCTCAGATGTGACAGTTTTGTTTAGGATGGCTACACTCAGCCTGCCACATGCATTGGACTTTGCCACAGCCTTTCACAGCGGCCTTCCTAACACACAAGAGCTGTGCCGGCCCTTTAAGAGTCCCTGAGATCCAGGGCACATTGCTATCTTGCTTCCACACCTCCCCAAACAAGGAAGAGACTGCAGAGGTCTGAGAACATCCCGTCCCTGTGGTACTGAGCTCACGCCTCAATCACAGACCTTGTCTGGGAACGTCTCGAAACAGGTTCTCACTGGGTCCCGGCAGCCAAACTTGGAGGACTTGAAGCGGCGAATGATGTCCTGGAGGGTGGCAGCCACTACAAAGTACTCCTGCTTCAGCCGCAGCTCCTTCCCCTCGAAGAACTGCAACACAGCACTGCTGCAGCACCCACCAAACCACAGCAACTCTGACAAGCTAGAGGGGCCCTGCATTTGCTTGCCCCTACCACCCTGGAGCTACTTAACCCACCAGGGAGCCAGGTCAGATGCCTAACTCAGGTGGCAGGAAGGAGGTCACACATGGTCAAACCCAGCCTGACAGGCAGGGAGGGGACGAAGAGCAGACAGCATAAGCCACCTAATTACAAGGTGTCTATCCACTGATGAGAGGGACAGGCCTGGGTTTGAGGAGTGCCAAAACCACTAAGAACCAGTACACAGGACAGACATCTGGACTGTGCCTAGTCTCCTAGGTCAGGTGCATCTGGTTTTGGCCTGCAGCATCAATACCTCTGCTACTATGTCCAGATAACTTTAATAAAAGTAAAGAAAAAGTTCACTTTCCAAAGTGCACAACCAACCAAGATAGGCCACTTTCAACAAGTGGGTTTTTGTTTGTTTTTTCATGTTTTGGGGATTAAATCAGGACCTTGCACATTCTAAACACATGTTCCACCATTGACCTACAAGAGCTCTTATTGGATAATAACAAGCCACTAGCCATTAAATCCAGGTGGCTGCAGAAAATTCAGCTGTGACCACTGCCTGGCATGTGACAGGTATGTCCTAACATGCTCCAAATGTGTCCAGACGCTGTTGAAAGATGGGTGCTGCCATTCCCATGGACACATGGGTCATGCAACCATTGGGGAACTACACTGCACAGCAGAGCAGCATTCACAGGCTGCCTGGATCCAATGCTCTACACATAGCATTCTCCATGTGAGTTGAGGAGTCTCTGACCAGACCCAGGAGAGAAGAGACCAAGAGCCTCTGTGAGTCTGTTCAAGGGGAACAATATAGACAGGCTCGCTGGACATCATCAACGATTGTAGCCTGATCTACTACTGCCCAGAGCTGCATGCAATTGGGGCAGTAGGGCTGCTGGCAGCCACACATACAGCCTCACCTCACAGCCTTTGTCGGGTCAACAACAGGTTCTGCTGAACGCCTCAACCTCCAGCTCATTAGTCTATACTTGAAAAAGGGTTGCACACAGTAGTCACTCACGTTGTCATTGGGATACAGCACCCTGGAGATGTTTTCAGCCAAGTTCCTGTCCAGGACAGCTTCGATGTAATCCCCCACGTTGACTAAGGAGAGAGAGTGCCCAGTCAGCAAAGCCTCCTCTGGGGCCCACGGGCCTTGTGAAGGGAGGGTACTACGGCTGCACAGCAGCTTCCTGAAGAAGGCTGATCTGCCTTGGGCCACTGTCATCTTCATCTCACCCCTACAGAAGGATGCATAGTCCCTCCCACAGCACCTCACTCCTACTGTACACCACTAACCCCCAGTCCTTTTCTTGAGGACATATGGTCTAAATGACTATGACCCTGGCTGGCTGCACCCTCACATCATGTCCATACTGCCTCATGCTCACAAGAGAGCTGCAAGGGACCACATGCTTCACAATAACCCACAGCAGAAAGTGTAAAGAAATGGATAGGAGTGGTAAGGGCCAGTGTTTGGATAAACCATCTAAACAAACAAAAGCACAGTGGCCACGGTGGGAACCTACAATCCTTCAGCTTGAAGTCATTGGGTGCCTTGGCAGACCACAGCCTCATGGTGTTGACGGTGTTGTTCTTATAGCCGGGCACTGGGGTGTCGTAGGGCATGGCCAGCACCACCTAACCATGAGAAAGCACATTTAAGGTTGAATCAGCAAAGAACCCCTCCTGCCTGGCCACAGTACCCTGACAGGACAGCTCTAGCCTCCCCATAGGCACCTGACCCTCCTGCTCCCATCCTCTCCTCCCTTCCCCTCTGAGGAAGGTTGAGTTAGCAAAGAACCCCTCCTGCCTGGCCATGGTCCCCTGACAGGACAGCTCTAGCCTCCTCACAGGTACCTGACCCTCCTCCTTCCATGCTCTCCTACCTTCCCCTTTCTGCTGAATACACTCACCTGCCAGAGCCCTTGCCACAGTGCCCTTGAACCCAGGGTGCTATAGTCATCCTGACAATGAGCCATCTCAGAGGGCTGGCAGTGTGCTCTGATACCTTCCCGAGCCACACCTGTGCCTCCCAGCTTTACCTACTTCAGTACTGGCATCAAGTGAAGAGTCCTGGATCTCTCAAGGTGCCATAGCATGAGCCACTCCCCCTCTCCCCATGCCCATGCTCTCCTCACTCACTCTGCTGTGGCAAGCCCAGAATCTGACTAACTCCTACTGGTATCTGTTCCCATGTCCCAATATCTTTGGCAGGTCTCCTCCTATCAGGTGCCTTGACCCCTACCCTTCATGGACCAAAATCAACTCTGACAGAAACATGGCCACTCTGGCATGCTCCCTTCCTGCCAGGCTCAGTCAAGCTGCCTCCCAAAGCCAGTTTAGCTCTGACACCCACAAAGGACAGTGAGCATGGGATTAATGCCAGTGTTCCCTTTCTCTAGTATCTGCTGTCAAGCCTTTCTCCTGCCCTACATGTCCTCATCCACCCGAAGGACAAGTCCAGCCACCCCACAGTCTTCAGAGACAAGACCCTCGTCACACACCACACACACCAACACCCCCCCCACACACACACAGAGACACACTCATTTGCAAGCACACACATTTAGAACATAGGATCCCCTTCTCTGCTCTTTCAGGTTAAAAACAACTTTTTATGGTATTTTTGGCTTGCAAAACATGAGTCTAGACTGCTGTAGTTCCAGGTACCTTATTTAAAATGATGCTCCAGAATATCAGAGAATTCCCTGAACTTACCACAACTGCCCCAGCTGCCTGGTTCCCATGTTTGTTCATTCTTCTACATTATGGATGACTGAGGCTCTCAGATTCTTGTTCCCTGCCCTCCCCTCCTCCAGTGACCAAGGTGTGTGCTCCCTAGAGTAGATTTGGCCTCTTGCACTGCATATCCCTGCCAGCATCACACAGGGGCCAGCCCAGGCCTGGCACACCCACCAGGGGCTCAGCCAGCTCAGACACTACAGTGAACCATGGAGCAGTAGTCAGTGCTCCATGATTTTTCTGGGAGCTGTTCTCATCCCCCTGGGGCCAGTGCTTTTTCTCCTCATCAGGACACGTTTCTGAGCTTACCACTAAGCACTAGCATTTTGTCATCTGTAGCATAAGAACATTCTGGCAGCTACTCCTCAGCACACGGCACAGGCTGAACTGTAGAACCGCTCTGCTAGGTGCTTTGTATTCCACTCCAAGGAGAGCACCCATCAAAGTGTAAATACTTGGGAGCATGAGGAAAATAAATCCTCCTTAAGTCCTCTGAGGAAGCAGCAAGCCCCTCCTCTCACAATGAAGTCGGTAACAACTAAGCCCCTCAGGGTAGTCCCTTTGCTCAACTGCAGCCTGCCCCTTGGGCTGGGCCTCCATACCTGTGTGTCCAGCCACAGGACACCATTAGGGGTGTGTTCCACTCTCCCATAGAAGTGCACAGGCAGCATGTACTCGGGTCGTGCTTTCTCCCATGGGTTGCCATAGCGCAACCAGTCATCAGCCTCTTCAACCTGGAGGGGCAGCCAGGAAGGAAGCTCTCAATATGGAGGAGACAGTGACAGCAGGGTCACCCTGCTATTAGCCTGGGCATGCACATGTGGATACTTCACAGTGTCTAGCACCAAAACATCCAGTTCAAAGTTCCAATCTAGTCAAGCCACATGAACTACTAAAGTAACAAAGTCCTACAAAATTCAGCAAGACATTCTGACAATAAATGAGAAGGGGAATGTTCTAGAGATAAGGTTGGTTACTCAATTCTGAATATGTCAAGAATGACATTATACCTCAATAAAGTAGCTGTTAAAAAGGGGGCTAGAGAGATGACTCAGTGGTTAAAGCAATTGCTGAGCAAGCAAGAGAACTAGAATTCAGATGCTCAGAACCAATGTTGATGATAGACGGATGTGACAACCCTCCTTTAATTCCAGCCTCAGCAGGTGGAGACAGGGCACCCCTAAACCACTCTGCCTAGCACGACCAGCCACACTAATGAGCTCTAGGTTTGATGGAAGACTCCGTCTGAATCAATAAGGAAGAAAATGATTAGCCACATAAACCTCAGTCCACTACATGCACGGGCAGACAGGTGCATATATGCACACCCACACACATGTCCCCACACATGCCAAAAAATGCATATACACACATGGACATCACACACACACACAAAATGGAGAAAGAAAAAAATTCAGTAAAAACCTACTGCTTGGGGGAAAAAAGTTACTATCAAAAACTGTTCATAACTCCAGTTCCAGGAGATCTGATGCCCTCTTCTGACCTCTGCAGGCTTCGCACTTACATACATGGAGGCAATACACTCATACATATAAAATAAAAATAATAACAAAAATATTTTTTAAAGGAAAGTCATAGTGCAGAACAAGCATGGTGCTATCCACACTCCTGTAATTGTAGGTGGAAGCAGGAAGACCAGGAACTCAAGGCCAGCCTTGGTTACTTAGTGAGTTTGAGGTCAGCCTGCACTACCTGAGGCCTTATCTTAAAACAAAACAAAAAGCAAAAAACATACTGCAAATCTGTGTGTACCATGGGCTATACTGTGGCTGGGAAGGCAGCCAACAGGAAGGCATAGAACACATTAAGTAGAGGATGCTGCCGCTGGACCAAGCGGCATGTTCTCTAAACAGCATGTTAGACAAGTACCCATCAACTGAGTTACATAATCTCTGAAATAATTTTTTTTTAAATGGTTCTTGCACAGAAGTAGAAGAACCACTAGAGAAGAGTCTCTGGGGTGTTCAGAAGGTGAGGTGGCTTCACCATGCATCTCTTTATTCCCAAGAGGACTTTTCTGTGCATGGAGACTGATCCCGTCGTTAGACTTTATGGCAGCATTTCCCAGTAGTCTATCACTGAGATTCTTCAGTAGCACAGCCTGCTGTACCCTGAAGAGTAATCCTAAGTCATCTGCGGATGTAGCACCTTCCTAAATGTAAAAGGCAGCAGGCCAACCCTTAGGTCCCATTCTCTGTTCTTTCACCAGAGAGCTCAGAGGGCTGCAGCCCGTCTGCCACTTGTTGCTATCCAACCACTGTCCACATTGATTTCTGCTATAGCTAAAGCCACTCACAAAAAAATTGAGGATCCCATAGAAAGTGAGCTGTGTGTTCACTCACTTGACATCCAAACTTTTTGAGGAAGTGGTAAGAGGTGGAAGGTGGAAGACCTCAGAGAAAACAAATGTTGATGTGGTAAAAGAAACCTTAACCCAAGTCCAGCTTTTGCTTTACCTATGACTTCAGGTTAAAAAAAAATTTTTTTTCTTTGCCTTAACCTTGAGATCTCTCACTTCAACCTTGTGAGTGCTGAGGTTTCATAGGTCCCACCATGGCTGATCCCAAATGATATCAACCAAACCATTCTTTTCAAGTGCCTCGGTTGTGTCTTCCCTAGACCTGGCTGAGGACAGGTCCTCTTCACCAATGAGGCCCTGACCACCTCACCTGGCTACAATTTGGCACTCTAACACTGAAGGTTGCTTTCCCCAAGGACCACTATCACTGAGCTTTGAAAATCAGGTCTCCAACCCCACAGCAGGCCACCCTCCACTGGTATTGGGAGTGAAGACAAAGGGTAGGAACCAAAGCTACAATAATTGCTTTCTTTTCTAGTCTAGTCCATTATTTTGAGACAGGGTCTTGCTATGCAGCCCTGACTGGCCTGAAACTCACAATGTAGACAAGACTGGATTCCAACCTGTGATGATCCTCCTGCCTCTGTTTCTGAAGGGCTGGAATTATGACAGCAGTCACCACACCTAGCTTTGCTTTTCTAACTATTCAACTGTCCCAGAGCATAAATAGCAGTGCTACCGCCTGCCCTATGTTCAAGCATCCCAAACACCAGCACAGAACTCATGGTGTCCTAGCCCACACTGCTGGTGGCTCCCTGCAGTCTCTTGAAGTCTTAGAAGGGTTTATGTGTCCTCCCACCAGACTTCCCTATCACCACACAGAAAATGTTGCAAAAGACTCACACAGAACTAGCCTGGCCAGGACCCCGGAACCGAAGCAGCTGGCTTTATTCAGGGAGTGCGGAGCACAGACAGCCGAACTCCAAGAGTATGCATTCACTTTTGTGTAGGAATGAGAACTGGAAATCAGTGGAGACACCTAAACTCACTCACCTGCCAACCATTGACAATCTTCTGATTGAAAATCCCAAATTCATAGCGGATTCCATAGCCATATGCAGCCAGGCCCAGGGTGGCCATTGAATCAAGAAAGCAGGCTGAAAAATCCAATCACAAATCATAGACCATCAGAAGAACCAAGACTGTAGACACAAAAATTTCAACAGAATAGGGCTGATGAGGTGACAGGGAGTCAGTGGTGACCAGAGACACCTCAGGTTTCACAAAAGGGAACACTGGAGTCCCCTAACCTGAGAGCAGGGGGTGAAGGTGAGGAATCTCAGAGATCATGATGAAGTCCCCAGCTTGCTCTCAAACATGCACAGAGGCAAGAGGTCTCCAGCCTTCTGCACATTCTATTTAAATCCATAGCTGACAATAGGGATACATCTGAGTATTCATAGGTGAGGAATCAGACACAGAAATGGGGCATGTCACCAAAGAAGCCCTTGTTCCCATCAAAAATTCTGAGAAATAAATAAAAGCAATGTTTTAAACAAAGATGCTGAACACAGAAGAAAGCCGTGTTAAACTTCTAGCTTAAAGGGGTGGCAGCTGGAGTACAGCTCAGTGGCAGAGCACTTATCAGGCATGGGCAACGCTGAGTTCATCCTGAGCATCACAAGGAAAGGAGGGAGAGGAGGCAAACAGGGAAGAAGGGAGAGAGGGAGGACTCCACATGGAATACTAGTCAATAAAATATATGTCCAGTTCATTAAATGCAGACACTTGGATGCTGGGCACCCTGTTGAGCGAGAGGGATGAGGAAGACCTGGACTCATTCTTCCAAGAAGAAAACAAGCCAGATCAAATCATTGTGGATTCACAAGAATTCACAGAAGAGGCTGGAAGGGGAGAAGGAAGCATCCAGGTATAGGCCACATAGAGCAGGTGTTAAGAGTGGCTGGCACCACAGGACATGAACACACTGCAATGAGTACAAAGGAAGAGATGGGACCACCTTGAGATAAGAGGCCAGTTCACCGGCAGGCCCCAAGGCTGCTGCAGAGGGTTAAGGAACATGGGGGAGAGGTGGAGAGGTGGGGAGGCTGAGGCTTCCAGCCAGGAAGGAATACAGGCTCCGCATTTAATGAGCAAGGACAAGGCAGTACGGGGACAGTGACAAGTTTTAAGGCTGGATGCAGAGTAGCTGAAACCCCAGCAGCAGGGGGCACCTGGGAAGTACCCCACCTCCAAAGCCAGGGCTGAGGAGGAGGTTGTGGAGGCGGGGTGGAGATTGGGCAGGCAAGGCAAGTTTTTCCTTTCTGTAGATTTTCTTTCTGTAGATTCCTGTACAGTTTTTATTTGAAAGAAACATGTTACTTTATAAATCTCAAAGAATTTAGGTCAAAATTTGAAAATATACTCCTTATACACACAGATACATTTTAGAGCATATTGCAATTTATAAAATGGCATATCTCAGTTTATAAAAGGTCTAGGTATGGAAGAACTTGGGCCAGGACACTCTTCCTCCCTCACCCTACCCTAAAGCCAGACTGCGATCAGCTTCCCTGTTCTTTACCTAGTTCACTCTACTCAAAAAGTCTGCAAAAATACCTAAAACAGAAAATATCACTTCTCAAATGCAGTAGCCAGAGAAAGCGGCACTGCTTAAGACTTGGCCTTGTTTTAGGAGCCATCAGCCGCTCTGTTGGAGCTGCAGCCTCGCTGCATGTAGGCAGCACTCCCAAGGCACTGGCTTTGGGTCCTAGAAAGTGGTGGGCATGCTGGGAACTTCCTTGGTACCACTGACCCAAGGCTGACCAACACAGCTTCATGTTAAGCACAAAGTGCCCTGGCTAAAGGACAACATATGCTTTCCATTTTTCTCTACTGATGGCAAGTATTTTGACCTGAGGGAGGCCAGTTTGCATTGACGGATGGGCAGCAGTAACGTGGGGCACTGTCTTTGCCCTGTGATCCTCCACCAGGCCAACAGATTAGAGAGACCTTATTACCTGCCAGTCGCCCCAGGCCACCATTCCCAAGGCCAGCATCCTCTTCTATTTCCTCTAGTTCTTCCAAGTCTAACCCCAACTGCAAAAAACAAAAAGGGTAACATTTCAATATTATTTAAAATACTGTCCTTCCAAGTTGAAAGATACTTAAATCTTAGAGTTTATACTAAGGGTCTGCTTTCTTACAGACTGAAAACCCAATGATAAAATTTAATGTTAAATCAATGCACAGAAATGGGAAGTTTTAGGTATTCCAAAAACTAGTAAAGGTATGTTTACCTGGGTGTGGTATCCACATCTATAATCCCAGCACTTAGGAGGTTTAAGGCATCACAGGACATGAACAGGAAGATTTCAAATTCAAGGCCAGCCTAGACTACATACATAGTAAAACCCAAGAAATGTTTAATAGCCACAAATATTTATTGTCAGGCCTGCTAACTATTTATAGTAGCAGATTTAACATGTTGCTTAAATATGGAACCAGTGGTTTTGATGAGTCGGAGGTATTCATTTTTACTTTTGCTGACTGTGCTTTTCATGTCAAAAAACCACAGCCCCATCCAAGGTCATGAAGATTTAGTCCTATATATTCTTCTCAAAGTTTTGACTCTTACATTTAGGTCTGTGATGCCAGAAGTGGTGCACACCGGTAGGATATGCTGAAGAGGCTGATGCAGGAGGATCACATCTAGGTCTGTGATTCATTTTGAATTAATCTGTCTACTTGAAGTCAAACTTCACTTATCTGCATGTGACAGCCAAGTGTCCCAGCATCATTTATTGAAGATACTATTCTTTCTCCATTGAATTACTTTGGTGTCCTTTTAAAATTTTTTTAAAAATTTTGCCAGGTGTGGTGACACATGCCTTCAATCCCAACACTTGGGAGGTAGAGGTAGGCAGATCTCTGTGAGTTTGAGGCCAGCCTGGTCTACATAGTGAGTTCCATGCCAGCTGGGGCTATAGGGAGACCCTGTCTCAAAAAGACAAAATAATAATAATAAATAAAAATTTTCTCTCTGCAGCCCAGGCTGGCCCCACACTTGGATTCCTCCGGAATGCTGGGATTACAGGTGTGCATAACCCACATTCCTTTCCTTTTCTTTAAGATGTATTTTTATTGCCAGGCATGGTGGTACATACCTTTAATCCTAGCACTCAAGAGGTAGAGGCAGGCAGATCTCTGTGAGTTCAAGGCTAGCATGGTCTACAAAGTGAATTCTAGGTCTGGGGTTATAGGGAGACCCTGTCTCAAAAAAAAAGTTTAAAGAAAAACAATATACAAAGTTTAAAGGTTTCATGCTTACCTGTATTATCTTGTTTCTTTTCTTTTCTTTTTTTAAAAAAAATATTTTATTTATTATTATTTTTTTATGTGTATGCATGTATTGCCTGCATGTAGGTAAGTGTATCCATGTTGTGCAATGCCCACGGAGGTCAGAAGAGGGCATCGGATTCCCTGGAACTGGAGTTACAGACAGTTGTTAGCTGCTATGTGGGTACTGGGATTCGAACCTGGGTCTTCTGCAAGAACATTCAGTGTCCTTAACTGCTAAGCCATCTCTCTAGCCCTATCTTAAGTTTTTATAACTTAAGTTATACAAACTTTAGTTTGTAATACAAACTAAAAACAGATATTACATATTTATAGAAGACACGATGCCCGAAATCTATACTATATGTAAGAATTGTACAAAGACAAAAGTATTTCCTCCAAAATACTTCATACAACTATAAAATTCACACAAGATGTGACTCAGACTATGCATTCTGTTACCCACACAGGCATGTTCTAACTCAAACTCAGCAAACAGAACTTAGTGACAAGTGACCTGTGGGTAACCTCTCTCTTAGATCATTTTCAGCATGAGATTCCCACTTCAGGGAGTAAAGCTTTTGTTCTGTTTGTCCCACCAAGTGAGATTATGTGCCACTGACTTTGCTCTTCACTTAACCCTGGCTGTGGTTTAGACTTGAAATGTCCCCCAAGACTCAACTGTCAATGGGGAGGTTCCAGGTGCAGCAGTGTTCAGAGGTGGGGCCTTGACAGGTGGCTGGATCCTGTAGGCTGTGACTTCATCAATGGGTTAATCTGATGATGAATTCATAGGCTGACTCAAGACTATAGGGTGAGGTCTAGTTAAAACTCACCAGAGGGTCTGCTCTTAAACAGTGCCTCTTGCCCCCAGCCCTTCCTACCCTCTGATTCCTGGCTCCTGTGAGGGAAGCATCCTCTTCTGCCACATGATCTGGCTGCCACAACATGCTATCTGCCTCAGGCCCAATGAAACCAGGAGCCAAAAATGAACTCTTTCTTCTTTAACTGGTTTCTCTTAAGTATTTTGTCATAGCAATAAAATGGTGACAAATACAGCCCTGGAGAAAGAGGGAATGAGGGTCCTCAAAGACTCACCCATTCTGGACTTAGGGAACTTATGTCCCAACCAAGACCCAGCTCCTTGTACCTAAGCCCAGCAAGAACAAATCAGGGTGGGGTAACGAGGGGAGGACCCTCTGAAAACTTTCTCACACTCATGGCCAGCAGGGAGGAGCTGCAGAGAACTTCCCCACTGGAGACCAGGGTTCTAGGGAAGAGAGAGAAGGCTGAGACAGGCTAGGCAGACAGTGCTGCTACCAAGCACAGCTCTGCTCAAGCTACAAAGGACCTGGCAGGAATTCTCTCAGAATGCTCTAATGAGGAGCCCTTGGAAGGGTGGGCTTCTTCCTCTCTCACACCTACAAGGTATTAGAGTTTCAAACAGCAGCAGCCTCCCCACTCCCTAACAGGGTCCCACTCACTTTGGATTTCTCAAGCCTGAAAAAGGGAACTGAGCTGATGAGCACTTTGGCCTTTGAAGTCAAGGGAAGCAGATTCTTCTAAGAGGCAGCCTGCCTTTCCTTTCATCTCCAAAGACAAGATAAGCAGATTCTGCCTGTTAACCAGAGATTTTAGGAGCTGTTTTAGTACAGCAGCTTTTCCTTATCTTAGGGGGACAAAAAAGTAAACACTTCCTGACCCAGATCCTGGCTGGCAGACAGAACAGAGCCAGGTTTACAAGCCCTGCTTTTCCTGCTCCCGCCCCCACCTGATTTTTTCTCAAAAAATTTCCCGCCTTCTGCACCCTGAAGCCCCCGTATATAAGCCCCAGCTCACAATCCGTGGGCTGACATTTTCCCTTCCCCGAAGGGAATGTGTCCTGTGCGAAATAAAGCTCTATCCCGCTGACAGTTTTTATCTGTGTCTCGGTGCCTCAGCCTCCATTCGCTCGTTCTCTGCCAACTTTTTACCTATCACAAGGTGCAATGAGTTCAGGAGGATGTCTCGGGATGAGTGAGGGAAACCAGATGTGGGCCATGCCATTGTCAAAACCTACCTCTAAGATGGGAATGGGAAGTACAATATTTTCTAGAAACTTCCAAACCACAGCTTGAAGATTCAATCCAGTCCTCCTATAGTAAGTCCATGTAGTGTAGTCCCTTGTAGTCTTACTTTTTCACCCTCAGGAAGAGGTATGTTGCCCGTCAGCCCAGGCAAGTCAGAACACGCCATTTCTAGAGGATGAAAGTCTTAACATTGGTGCTAACTGTGCAGGAACTGGATTAAACATACCTGATAAATAGCTTCATCACAGGCTGTCTGAAGGCCCAGGTTCACCATGGTGTTCTGCAGTGTGCGGCCCATGTAGAATTCCAAGGAAAGGTAATAAATACGCTGAGGAAGCAAAGCAAAATCTTAGGTTTCCCTTATGTCCCCACACCAAGGAGGTGCAACAGGGAAGGAATCATAAAGCACCTAGGTAGGGCTTTCACATGAAGCTAACACTGGCACCTCACTTATAGGGCAACCTGTCTCCTCCCACCCTGCAGTGCATAGAACTGAGGAGTCAGGTCAGCCTAGAGACTGAACAAAGCTTCCCTAGCTGGCCTCTCACCAGCTGTGTGCCCTTAGGCAAGTTCTGTTTTCGCAGCTCTAGGTGGGATAAAATAGCCTACAAAGGAGGAAATACTTCCAAGTATTAAATGCAAGCTGGGCATGGTATGTGCTCCTGTTGCCTAGCTACTTTGGAAGCTGAGGCAGGAGGATGACTTGAGCCCAGGAGTATGACCCAAGTCTGAAGCATATAAAGCCCTGAGGGCAGCTTCTGAAGCCCACAATAAGTGCTCAATAAACAGGTGTGCAGGCAGCAGCTGCTCCAGGCCCAGGACTCATTCTCACCAGGTAAAGTCTGGCTTATACTGGCTGCCTGGTGGATTGGCTGGTGGGGGTGAGAGGGGGTAGGGGGTGTTTCCATGCTAAGTGAGGTGCTTTGGCATGCAACTAACCTGGACTATGGCCACACACAATGCTATCAGATCCAGTAGGTTCTAAGAGCTCAGAAATCAATACCCCACAGACAGGTGCTATGGCATGCAAAGGGTCTTAGCGGTCACCTCAAAACTAAGTTCTCTGTGACTTCCCAGGACCAAGGAGAACTTTCAGCCAAGTTCCCTTAGCTACCAGATGAGATTTCCCGAAAGAGGAACCAGATGGCTTACAGTCTTCTACATTTTGTTAACCACAAAACACTAATTCCTCAGGAATAAAGACTGACAGTAACTATAGAGCTCCAGGGTAGATTTTTGTTACACACCCTCGACCTTACCCTCAGGCCCACTCAGCATAGCAGAGAATCCTTACAAACTGTTGCTCAGTCTGTGAGTTGACAACTTTATTGTAGGCCATGCTCAGCTTTCTAATGAATTCCTTTAAGAGCTGAGTTCTTCATTGAGTTCCCTTAAAAATCATTTCCTATCCCTCTAAAAATTGCCTGTATCCCCACTTCCTCCCACCCTGTGCACAGGGTATTTAAGCTGCAACCGTCGGCCACTAGATCTCACTCTAGCATGACTTATCAAAGTAAGGCCTGGTTGGGCCTGGTGGCACATGCCTGCCACCCAGCTACCTCGGAGGATTACAAGTCCAAAGCTTGCTGTCCTAGTTTGTCTCTCCATTGCTGTGACAAAACACTCTGATCACTACCAACTTGGGGAGGAAAGGGTTTATTTAGCTTATATATCGCGGGTCACAGTTCATCCAGGAGCCCACGGTAGGAATTCAGGGCAGGACCCTGGAGGCAGGAGCTGGAGCACAGGCCATGGAGGAGTGCTGCTTACTGACTTGCTCTTCTGGCCCCTGCTCAGCCTGCTTTTTTATGCAACACAGGCCCACCTGCCCAAAGGTGGCACCACCCACAGTGGGCTGGACCCTCCCACATCACTCATCAAGAAGATGCCCTTCAGACATGGCCACAGGCCAGTCCAATAGAGGAAATTCCCCAATTGAGGCTCCCTCAACCCAGGTGTGTCAAGTTGACACTAAAGCTACCCAGAATACTTGCCAAGACAACTTAGTGAGACCCTGTCTCAAAATGAAAAATTTAAAAGCTGGGTATATAGCTCAAGGTAGAGCACCTGTCTAGTAGGCATGAAGCCCTGGGTTCAATCCCCAGCACAGAAAGGAAAGACAGACTGGCAACAAGGTAGGGTGGAGGGGCTCAGATGGGACAGAGTATATAGACTGGCAGCTGTCAAGCCCAAGGCTATGAGCTCAGGGAGTGTGGGGGACGACAGCTAACAGATGTGGGTCTACTGTTCAGTATGAGGAATGAAATGTTCCCAAACTGATTTTGACAATGAATGCACAGCTGTGTGAACACACTGCCTTATCCTTACCTGCTCCCTCCCTCTTCCCTCCTCCTCTTCTTTCATTTTTGTGGTTGGTATTGCAAATCAAATCCAGGGCCCCCCATATACTAGGCAGGTACTCTACCAAGCTGCTTCCCCAGCCCAACCTGCACGCTTTAAATGATGAATTGTATGACATACAACCTTTATTTCAATATAGCTCTTACCAACAAGAAAAAAAAATAGATGAAATAGTATTAATAAAGTAGTTTAAAATTTACATTTATTTATTTATTTATTGTGGGTGGGCACATATTTCATGACACATGTGGCAGTCAGAAGACAGCTTTCAGGAGTCAGTTCTCTCCTTCCACTATGTGGGGCCCAGGGATTAAAATCAAATTGTCAGGCTTGGTAGCATGTATCTTTATCCTTTGAGCCATCTTGCCATTCCCCCTAAAATAAATTTCATTTATAAAATATTTCCAAGCCAGGTGTGGTGGTGCACACCTTTAATCCCAGCATTTGGAAGGTAGAGGCAGGTGGATCTTTGTGAGTTCAAGGCCAGCCTGGTCTCCACAGCAAATCCAGGCCAGCTAGGGCTACAGGGAGACCCAGTCTCAAAAAGACCAAAAAAAAAAAAAAAAAAAAAAAAAAAAATCCAGAGCTAGGAATAAGGATGTACACTCAGAATCTCAACTGAGAAGACTGAGGGCAGCAGGATCCCCCAACCAGTTAAGGCAACAAAACAAGATCCTGTCGTAAAGTTAACTAAAGTTAACTATATATAATATATATTATATAAAACATATATATTTCCAATTGAACAGATGGAAGAATGAAAATGCCTCTACTTGCTAGGCATGTTGGTGCATGCCTTTAATCCCAGCACTGGGGAGGCAGAAGCAGGCAAATCTCTGTGAGTTCAAGGCCAGCCTGGTCTACATAGTGAGTTTCAGGCCAGCTGGGGTTACAGGGAGACCCTGTCTCAAAAAAAAAAAACCTAGCTCACTAGCTTTTTTTTTTTTTTTTAATAAAAAAAAGCCTCTATTCACATATTCCTTAAAACTGACTATAACTTTTCTTTAAAGGTGTGAACTCTGGTTGGTTGACCATGCTTCAGGGGATGGCCCCATACCCCAGAGTATTTGGGGAACACAAATGGGACTTGATGGGCTTAAAAGAGGACACAAAGATGAGGGAAATAAAGAGATGGTCATGGATCTGACACGAGATGAGAGAAGCAGTTAAATGATCAAAATATACTGTATGAAATTCTTAAAGAATTAAAAATATTATTTTTTCAAAAGCTCACTAGCTGGGTGTGGTGGTATACATTTTTAATCCCAGCATCAGGAGGCAGAGGCAGGTAGATCTCTGTAAGACTGAGGCCAGTCTGGTCTACACAACCAGCTTGGAGCAACAGGGAGACACTAATTACAAAAAAAAAAGCAAAAACAAAACGAAAAACTTGCTGATTCTAACAAAGTGGACACAGACACCCCAGGGTGGCAAAACATGAAAATGGCCCAAGTGTCACTTATAACCAAGTGGCAGTGAGGTATTCACTGGGAGTCCTGCCTTTTGAAGCCAAGGAAAGGCACTTTAGACACTCACACACACACACACACACACACACACACACACACACCAACATACTTTTTCTCGCTCAAGCACACACAGGCACACCCACAAAGCTGGAAACCACAAAGGGGCTATTCCCTCCAGAACTATACAGACCCACAGCTCCATTATCCAGCCACCACCAGCTAGTTCCAAAAGAATCTGATTCGTACCTGAGAAATCATCACAAGAAGACAGAACAGGAAATTGAATAGGCAAAAAGCACATGGCATTTCCGGGGGGGGTGGGGTGGCGGGGAGTGGGTGGGGGGGTGAAGAAATTCATAAACAGAAACTTAACCAAAATAGGATGGGGCTAGAGAGACGGCTCAGTGCTTAAGAGCACTGGCTGCTCTTGCTGAGGACCCAAGTTCAGTTCCCAGCACCTATATAGTGGCTATCAACCATCCTTAACTCCAGTTCCAGGGGATCCAATGCCCTCTTCTGACATCTCCTGGCACTGCATGACACTGGTACATTTTCATTCATGTTGGCTATACACTCATATACACAAAATAAAAAATAATAAATAAAATACAAAAAAAGAAATGATAGGACTACAAAAATCTAAAAGAGCACAGATGAGAAGCAAAACCCCTCAGTAGGGCACCAGTGAAAGCCTGCAGATGGTGACTTAAAAAAAAAAAAACCCCAGAAAGGATCTTGAATTATTTCTGCCATAAAGAAATGATTAAACACTGGGCATGATGGTGCCTACCTGCAATCCCAGCGCTTGGGAGACTGAAGCAGGAGGATTTCAAGTCTGAGACTACCTTGGGTTACACAGTGAGTTGGAAGCCTGGACTATATAGTTAAGACCCTTAAAAACAAGGGGCTTAAAAAAAGGGGGGCTGAGTAGATGAGTCAGTGGATAAAGCATTTGCTGTGAAGGCATGAGGACCTGAGTTCAGATACTCAGCAACCAAGTAAAAGACAGGCATAGCCTCATGCCTCTAAAATCCCAGAATCCCTGGGCTAGGGCAGAGGAGTTGGGTAAGGAGACAGGCAGATCCTGTGTGGTGGTTTGAATGAAAATGTCCTAGAGATTCAAACTTAAACAATGGTGAGAGTGCCTCCAGGGCAAGACCACACCCAGTTAAAGCCTCCATCTTGTGAAAGGAAAATGCTGCAGGGACCACTGAAGAGAAAAGCTTCTAAAATGGATAAAGTAGGCTAGAGTCCATCCCAAACTTGCAGTCAAGTTTGGCATTGTAGTTCACCCAGTGCTGGCTTTAGAGGCACGAAAGGTGCAAGAGTGAAGGGGTCATCAGTTCATCCTCTGTGGTTTCAGAGAGCCACTGTGGCCAGGCAGCATGCAGCAGGGGTACCCCTGCCTAGAGAAGGCCCCGATAGGCCACTGCGTGAAGATGTGAAGGTGAAGCCTGGTTGGCAATGGAGACCTCAAGAAGATGCCAGAGCTGTGAGG